TTTACATCGTATACATTTTCTCATGTGCTCTCTCCATCCTACAACACATGTACCTTGCTAGTTCTAACAAAGATTCAAGCTCAACTCAAGTCTCATCCTGTTGGCTTTAGTATGCAATTTCCGACCATCGAGCCACTCCCTCCGGGACGAAGGATGCCGAGACAAGCTTAACCTCGTAGGCTCACAAGTGGCCTGACCTTACCCTTTTACCGACCCGATTTCCGGAATCTCGATCTCATGTATCACGAATACGAAGCGAGCGACCATCTCGATTGCCTGACGCCAAGGCATGTATGTAGGAGACCGATCAGAAGGCTTCTAGAAGATACACTATTCGTCTGATTCAAGCGGTCTAGCTATCTATCTACCTGTGGTGCAGTAAGTCGTCCGCGATAAAAAGGAGTTTGGATCCACACCTCAAAAACCGTCGTACCAAAAAGCCTCCGTTCCGTCTCTGAACAAATTGAAACACAATACATGCCTCTAGTAGACTCTTACAAGTCTCTTATCCAATCCATTCGACAAACGTTGTTGCACCAACATGGCGGTATAGAAGCACTGCTCAATTCTCATGCTCACCGCACCCTTGGCGTTCGTGATTGTGATACAAGGCCTTCGAGAAACGTCACTCAATGCGAGCATCGAAGCATACCAGTCAGATACCCGCTAAAGGCGTTCATCAGGGGCCCAAGTCGAAGCTGCTGCTGCTGGCCACCGTGGACAGCTGCTGATAACGCAAAATATGATAATCTTGATAGCTGCTGCTGATGCTGTGCGTGCGTTACTATACGTCAACGTCAAGACGTAGGAAGAGCGTCTTGACACATCGCACCCCCCTCAGTCCATGAACAAACATAATCCACATCATTTCAAAGCTCAAATAACGCTGCTTCTTCTACCTACCTAGTATCAAGATCCCCATCGTGATTCAGAGCATAAGCGCGTAATATGGCAATTTTTATATAGATATAGTACATACATAGGTGCCACTATAACGCTATAAAAGCAACATCGCATACTACATCAGACTGGCCTCATCAACATACCACCACTAGGAGTCTCTCATACATGCAAAAGCGGTTGATCTGGCAAAAACAACTAATTGCCAGTCAATGTTTTCTTTCATTTTCCTAGCGCTAGGGAAATTGTCAATGAAATAACACAAGCAAAGCTGAAAGCAGCGTCTCCAGGTAAGCCCTGCTCCCCTCCTGCTTCGCAACTTCATTTGGGACTACTCAGGACTCGAAAGAGGGTCAAAACATATCACGCAAGACGCGAGTGAGAACCAAGGCCTGTTAGTGAACAAATAGAGCCATGTGTATATATGTGTGGTATGAAACAACTTTTCAAAAAAACACATATGAAATGGATGCTGACAAGCTCAATGCCACGCTCTGCACAGCACGCGATGAACGGTAACCGACAAACACCAAGAGATGACGAGGCTGGTGCGATCGCTATGCAGAGAGGGAATAGTAAGAAGAAGACGAAAGAAAGGAAACAAGAATTATGCCCGTGAAGAAATCCAAGGTATAAACGCAAACCGCCCCCTTCCCCTGTTCTCTTTGCTTTTTCCAACCGATATACGTAGATCCGATAACTGGCTTCCCGCTGCCTTCGTTACTGTTAATCGTAGCCTTTTCCTTTTTCCTTACTCTTTACTTTTGCGTCATGACTTTCCTCCGGCTTCCTCCTCATTCATCCTGCGCTCCAGGCTCCTGGTTGCCGCCGCTGCTGTTCCCTTGACAGGCCGTGGGCTCAGCACGACAGGGGCTGACTGGGCGATGCGAGTCTGGGATCCGGTAGACTGCGTCGGCACATCTTGACTACTTACCCCTCCCGAGAAGCCCTCCTTGTGACCCCCGAGCTTGCGCAACAGCATCGCTGACTGCTGCTGAGCGAGCTTCTCTAGTTGCGCTGCGGGATCCTTGACAGGAAACTCCACGTCAGCCACCCAGCAATTGTGTAGAGACATCTATTTAGCTGCTTTAGATTTGATTAGTACGTACCCATTCGGACTGTGACGGCACGCCCTCAGCGGCCGGGAGCACCTTACCGGTGGAATCGCGTCCTCGGGGGACTGGTGCTGGTGTGACCGGCAGGCTGGGCCTCTCCGTCTCAGTGGGGAAGTCGGTAACCTTCTTGAAGCCTCGGGCCTCGTCGTCATCTTCGTCATCGTCGCCTTCTTCGCCCTCCTTGCCGCGGCTGCTCGATCGGTGGTGCTTCTCAACGGCGTCCGCGTACTTGGAGATGCCCGGGACCTCGTCCCAAGCATTGCCCCGCGAGTATGTCGTCCAAGAGGCCGTTCCGGCCTCGCTCTTGTTTTCAGACGTCCTTGAGGCGGGAGACTTTGGGGGAGACTTTGTTACGGAAGAACGAGCAGTCGACTTGGCAGCAGCGGGGCCTGAGCGAGAAGGAGTCTGCGGCTGCAGCTCTGGCTCATCACCGTAGAAAGACCTGGTGGCCTTGGGCTGATGGCTCTCCCATGGGAAGATCTGTCGGGGTGCCTGGCCCTGGAAGCCAGAACCTCCTGCCGGTGCGTCGAACTTGGTATCAGCCAGAGAAGCGTTCCTAAGCCGTGTTAGCATGCCAATATCTCTGGGGGGAGAGGTAGAACATCGACCGCCTTACTTTTGTGACTCGTAAGCTTGGTTGTAGTTTCCACCATTGTTGGCAAGCTGAGAAATCTCCTGTAACAGCATTAGCCTCGGGCAACTTGAGAATGTGGACATTTCCTATGCCAGGAAACTCACCTTCTCGCGGTAGTGGCGGTCATACACGGCCCACCAGCGGCCGACCATTTCGTCGTAGGCCCCGTTGCCGTAGGAGGCATTGCGGCCGGCGCGCCAGGGCTTGTCCGGGCCAATGAAGTGCACCATGTTGATGCTGGACTGGAAGTGGCGGTAGGCCGGGAGGTACTGGTAGTGGGCAGAGGGGGTGACGTTGTAGGTGAAGGGCAGGCGGTGGAAGTTGTTCTTGAAGTGGGTGTTGAGGAGACCCTGGTCGGCACCGTCGAAGGAGATGCCCCTCTCGGCCATGGCCATCATGGCGTGGTAGTCGCCGTTGTTGGGCGTCAAGGCCATGACACCGGTGTTGAAGATGTCGGGCCAGCCGATGTCAGGAGAGGCGGCAAAGGCGTGGGGGAGGTCGAAGAGCTCATCAGGGGCGCGGTAGGCAACGACATCGGCGTCGATGTAGACGATTCGCGAAAACTGCGTCTGCTTCCACAGGTTGATCTTGGTGAAGGCAGAGTGCAAGTCGGCACGGTTCATGAGGTAGAGGTTGGCAGGCTTGTCATTGCGGATCCGAGGCACAGGCAGGACGTAGTCGTAGACGGTCTGATTCACGCACGAAGCGAGTCAGCAACATTGATCCTGGGCGAGTTTGGGCGCATGTACGCATATACAGAAGAAGGGGGAGCTTGAGAGTTTTGCAGGCGGAAAAAGGAAAACGCACCTTGAGCTGAACAATGGCATCGGCAGTCACACCGTCGAGCGTGACCAGGACAGCAAGCTTCTTGGTGGTGCCGGCATCGCGCAGAGAGTGGGCAAGCACCAGAGCACCTAGAGCTCGTTAGCGACCACTGCGGCGGGAATTGGCCAGAGACGAAGACGTACCAGGGAGATAGGCATCGTTCAACAGAAGCTGTACGTCGTGATTGCAAGTCAGTTTCCGCTACCCCTCACGTCAGGGAGAGCGCCGAGGAGGACGAACCGTAGCATAAGCATGCTCGCCCCAGCTAGGATCAGCCATGGTTGCTGTGTAGATGAGATGGGCACGAAGCTTGGAATAGAGGGCGTCTGGCGGGATAGAACAGCAGGCTCACGACAACAGAGGGACGAGACGACGGGCGAGCTTTACGGAGGAGGGAGCAGGAGGAGGGATTTGGAAGCAGGTTCTGGGGCGGGACGGGGAAGCGGTAGAAATAAAGGAAAAAGCAGTTGGGAGGCAACTTTGCTGGTGATGGAGGTTGGAATTGGGTACGAAGTAACGGAGTACGAGCAGGTACTAACGGACTTGGGGTACGGGGGAGGTACTTGGATCGGCAAGGTGTGGACGGGGGAGGGTGGCGTCGTCAAGGTACCGTCGGGCTGGCGCTACGGTCTTGTGCTTCTCTGCGCTTCCGTTGTATTTTCGATGGAGGATTGATTGCTTGAATATGTATTCTAGTTGGATCTTGCTCTTCTCTGCTGCTGCCACCTGCTGCCAACATGGCTGTGGTTCTACACAGAAGCGGGCACAGTTCGCGTTGCTGCCGCCTCCCGGCGCCGTACCTACATCGTACATCGGCCACTCATCTCGATGCCATCACAAGAACTCGAAGCCATCGTAGCCCACAGCTCAAGCTACCTTAGTGCCAAGTACAGTACCTCCCGATAGCTCGCTGACAGGCAAGATGGCAACCTGAAAGAAGGCTGGGGCCTCGCCCACCAGCCTAACTCGGGCCCTAGGACCTTACCCGGGGGGGTCCAGCTCTGTCCTTGTCCCGGTGGCGGCTGGCTTGCAGGATGGCTTGCAAGCGAACCCGAACCAGCATGCAAGACGCAGGCGCAGGCGCTGCAGAAAATGGATGGCCAGTAGTAATACTTTACTCGTACAACTACAAGCAACAGCAGCCAACCAGCCACCCATGCTTGGCCCTGTTCCATCGACAATGCATGCAGCTGGGCAGACGTTACCCCTCTATCGCGAACCCCTCCATGAGCAGAAAAAAGGAAAAATGCCCCTCCAAAGCAAAGCAGAAAAACCCCTCCAGCTCGTGTAAGAACCAGCCAACCACGTGCTGCGATTTCTTCCATCGCTTTTTGCGCCATATTCGCATCAACCGCAATCCAGTCTTCACAACTGGCGTACGCAAGCCCTTTTGTACTCTCATTGACCTCATCCACACATAAGAGAGGCGGTAAACAAAAAGTTGAGAAAAACAAACCCTACTAGCAAACAAATAGCGCTCCATCTAAATGGGAAGCTACCAAAGATACCCAGGAGCCTAAAACCAAGGCAGACGTCCAAACACCCTGTGATGGAGCCGCCGAGTTGATAACCACAGCCCGTTGATGACCAGGTTTCTCCTCTTGCCGATTCGATACGGCACGGGGCATCCACGATGAGAACTGGAGCCCGTCTTTACTCGTACATACATCCAGCTGCGCTATTATACTACCACCTCAGGTAAGAGATACTCAGACCTACGAAGCTAGCATCTTCGAATGCGTCACTCCTGTTATGCAGCAACTCCCCCCCCTCAATCGACACTCTCACACACGCATTCTCCCGAGGGAGGCAAACGAAAAATTTCTCAAGCCAATTGCTTTCTCCCCCTCTCTGGCCATGCATACTCGCCCTCGCACGAGCAAGGAAAATCCGAATCCAGAGAGCGTAAGAACAGCAAGGCGAAAAAAAGGTCGCAAACCAGTCCAGTTCTCTCTTCTCGACCGCATCCATGCCATGCCTCTCTCGCCCCCCTCCGTGGATCCCCCATGCAACATCCGAAAAAAGGGCTCCGCAGTTGGGACTCAGTGCTTCCGTGCTTGCTGCCACAGCCGCTGCCACTTCTCCCCAAGTTGCTCTTTTTTCTTTCCCGCAGATAACCAAGTTTCTGATACTTGATTGATTGGATTGGATTGGATCGAGTCGAAAGGGGCCTGTTCTTGTTCTGTTCTATCGGGTGCCCAACGCGCGCTCGCACAAGCTCCGTTCCCATCAGGCTCACCCGCATTGAGATGCACTGCCCTCCTCCCGGTTCCCATGTATGTAGTATGTAGTATGTATGTATGTATGTATGCAAAATGCGCGCAATCCGGCCGCGGCCGCTCCTCATCACGTACACGCATGCCGCTGCGAGCTTTGGGGGATCCCTGATCGCCTGATTTGCCAGAACTCCCGTCTTTTTCGTTCAGAGCAAAGCCTGGCGGGCACAGATCCATGTGCGATGCAGTCAAATTACTGCGAGGCTGGCAAGACAAGACCACCAGCTCCTCCTCCTCCTCCTCCTTCTCACGCCATGGATATCGGTTGCTTCCAACGTTCGGGCCGTTAATTAGATGGCAGCGTCGTATAATCTGGCTCGCGTCTTTTTCGCCTTTCATGCTTTCTCACTATCAGCCCTCTCCTTTGGCCCGTACGCTGTAGTAGTCAGTATTAGTCCATGTCATATCATACCGGCGAAGCCATCCGGGTAATCAATATGTAAAATAAAATAATACCCATTGATACCTAATTGAACCCTCCCGAGAGTTATATCCCAGCCCTCTCAAGAGGCATTCATTCCCATGGCTTTGTCGGGTATGGAGCGTTCTCGACAGCACACAGTCGCCCTAGGAACGGGGGCAATCTCGAGCTGCAGCACCAGAAGAGGATACCCAAACACCACCCTCTCCTCTCGCGAAATAAATAGCTCTCCAGTTCGTTCTTCTCCTCATCGCCAACGATGCAGACGCTCCGTTGGGTCCACCGTCCTTCCGTCCCACCCCCCGCTCACTTTCATGAAGAGCTCTTCTCTGCCTCGATCTATACCCAAGTTTCTGTTAGACGCAGTGGAAGGCATAGATGTATAGTAGCATCATACACGACGATACGTAAAGACCTTGGTGTTCCCCGAGATATTGCCTTTACATGTGATTTCTGACAACACTGTAAAGCAAAGACGACCACCAGGACCGGCTCCCTTGGTCAGTTTACGAGTTAGTAGTAGATAGCACTACGCCTTGTACTGCCAACTGGCAGCTCTCCTGTGCCCCTCCTCCGTTGCCCCTCCTCATTTATTATCAAAGCTGGCATATCAGTTTACATTGGTAACATTCAAAAAGTGATACGATGCTAACGCGTCAATGGCTCCATTGTATAATATGCCCTCTTCCCTCGACAATGAAACAGCAGCTGCAGAGACCGCCAAAAAACGAGTGCTCAAACACCAAACAGAAAAAAGCCTCTCTCATGCAGTCGCTCATGCATGCAGCGTACGTATGCACGCATCCTAAAATGCAATTCTCTCACGACAAACCTCCTCCTCAGAGGTCCTTCTTGTACGCGTGCTCCGGCTTGTGAGTGGTCTCGTAGTCGATATGGACGTAGGCCCGCTCAACGTCGGGCAAGCTCTCCAGCTTGAACTGCAGCTCCTCGGCCACATCGTGCGTCTCCAGAAGCGTTCGGGATGGGTCCATGACAATGTCCACCTCAGCAATCAGCCGCGGGCCCGAGTGGTAGACTCGCACGGTATCGATGCCCTCGATGGCATCCGAGTGGGTCAGGCACACGTACGTGATGAGCTGCTGCATGTCCAGAGGCGCGACCACGCCCACGAGCAGCAGGAACTCGTTGAAGGCAGTGTACAGCCAGACGCCGGATGTGAACAGGGACAGCAGGATGGCGCCCATGGGGTCGATCCACCACTCCAGCTTGGCGCCGCCCACCGAGGTCAGGATACCGAAGCCGTTGACGAGCAGATCGTTGCGGTGGTCTTGCCACAGAATGTTCACCTGGCTGTACTTGTCCTTGATGGACCAGCAGTACAGGAAGAGGCAGAACTTGGTCGCAAACGCCGCGCAGACCGAGATGACGGAAGGAAGGTGAAACTTCTTGTCACCATCGCCGTTGGCCAGCTCTCTAGCGGAAAAGGCGATGATGATGAGGGCCACAGCGCTCATGAGGAAGCAAAAGACAATGTTGCCCACGGTCTCGAGCCGCGCCTTGCCGGCGGGAAAGCGCCGGGGGTCGACGCGGCGGATGGCGCGGTTGGACAGGATGAGAGCGAGGGTGCTGAGCGGGTCAAAGACGGCATCGGCCATGGTGGTGAAGAGAGACAGCGAGCCGGACGTGATGGCCGCGTAGAGCTGCAGCGCCGTGAGCACAATGTTGGCCGCGAGCGAGCCGTAGACGGCAATCTTGTACTTGAGCTTGTCCTCGCCCTGCTCGATGCGGGCTTCCTCCCGATGGTCCTCCACCGACTTGAGCATGCGCTCAATGGTTGCGTTTTGGTTTTCGTAGAAGCCGCGGATCTTGCGGTGGTCGCTCTTGGGACCCAGCTTCTTGTCGCCATTGGCGCCGTCCCTTTTACGAGATGAATTGGCCTTGATCTGCTCGAGGTCCGAGTCCGTCTTGTAGGAAAAGGACAGCCCGTAGGGATCGCTCTCGGCCGACAGACGCGGCACGGGCGTGCGACCTGCCGTGGACTGGCTCTCGATGTCGGCGGCGGTGTAGTGGTGGCGCTCTACCGCATCGTGGTCTGCCGCCTCGACGGCCTCGACGCCTGTGCTAGAAGCGGCACGCCCAGCAGGCGCTTTCGAGCTGCTGCGGCTGGAGGTCTGCTGGAGGCGCTGGAGATTGAAGACGTTTGGGTGGTGAGTGATGGTGTTGCTCGCGTCGGGCGTCATTGTGAATGGTGACAAGTATCGCCTTGCTTGATGTCAAGTAGAGGACCAAGATGTATTTAACGACGAGCTGCTGGCCTCGTAGCCTCGTAGGAATGCCGTGTCGAATCTAACTTTTCGTATTTCGATTCACCGATACAACCGAAGGAGACGCGAGCTCGGCGTGGGGGGATTTGCCCGTCGCCACCAAAAGGAGGCCTCGCGAAAAGGCTTGGCTAACGCCAGGGATCTGCTGCGGCTCGACAATGGGATTCTGCCTGAACGAGGCCAAATGGATGCCGTAACTGTAAGAAGTAGATAGTTGCTGCAAGAGCCTCGGTTTCCTGATGAAGAACAAAGGCCCGGACGAGAGAAGATGGATTGATTGCCAGCGGCGAAACAGAAAACCTCAAGACACGGGCCGATAGCTGCTGTGCTGTGGAGAGCTCGCAAATCAGGGACCGGTGAGGCGTGGGGACTCTGCCTGGGCTCGGAGAAGCGCTGAAGTTGATGGGCCGAAGATGCTGGCCTGCCTAGTCTGGAGCCTCCACAGGACGAGCAGGTAAGTTCAAAAGACTTGAGAGTTTAGAGAGTCATCGTGTGCTGCAAAATCGTAGACCTTGGGAGAGCTTCTCTTGCCCCCCTACCAACGGCAGTGGCTGCCACGCGTTTCTGCCCCTTCCAGCAGATACACTTTCTCCCAGGTCCCCATGGTGGCGAATGACTAAGCCGGGTCGTACTCGTACTCGTAGCATTGAATCCATCATCACCGCCAAAGAAGCAGCAAGAAGGAGCTCAGAACAAGAGACAAAAAGCCAGGGCGTCACACAAAAAGCAAGAACAAATACGCAGGTTCCAAAAAACAACCTGTCAAAAGCGGTAGCGGGAGAAGGCAATCTAAATCTTAAATAAGAGAAATCTCGATCAGGATCTGGCATCTCGGCACAGGGTCCCCCGATCTTTTCGGGCGTCTTCGGAACCCATCCAGGTTCTCTCGGTTTGACCCCCCATTTGCGGCGGGAACTCGGCCGACCCACGCTGCGGGATAGTAGTGGAATCAGCCCATTGCTTGCAGTTCTGGAGGCATGTTGTGAGACGTCGGGTGGCTGTTGGTGTTCAATGCCTTTGTGTACGAGACACTACGTATGTAGGTATTATATGTATGTCAGAGGGCCGCGAATCGAGCCAACTCTTCTAAGAGACGGGAGTGAAAATACAAAGATAGAAACGCCATTATGCAAAATCCATGACAAACACCAGTGCTCATCCCTCACAGCTTCGACTCAATCTTGGACCGCTTCAGAATCCAGTCAATCACGTCCTTTGCAAACTCATCCTTGCAGTGGTCCGCGTGAAGCTGGTGATACGCGCCCTCATACGACTTGATCTCCTTGTCCGCAACAGCCTCCTGGTCCTTGACGAACTTGACGGCCGCATCGTAGCTGCACGTCATGTCGCTGGTGCCGTGCGTCAGGAACAAAGAATGCACGTCGCTGCCCAGCTTGACGCGCCCCGAAGAAAGCAGCGCCGTGCGATCCAGCAGCGACGCCAGCCCCTCCAGCGTGCCCGTGTTGTGGCACAGCGGGTCGTTCCGGATGGACTCGACGACCTCCGGATCGCGACTCAGGTGCTCCGGCGGAACGACGTGCTTGAGCTGCTGCCGCGGCAGCAGCTTGCCTACCAGCCGCCCCAGCACGACCTTGACCACGCTCGGCTCCTCGCCCTTGGAGAAGCCGATGAAGGGCGCCTCGAGGATCCAGCCGCGCACCTGCGTGACCAGCGGCCGGTGCTGCGCGTCGTCGCCCGCCGCCAGCGTGAGCACCTCGCCGCCGCCCATGGAGTGGCCCATGACGAAGAGCGGCGCGTCCTCGGACGGCAGCTTGTCCCGGATGAAGGCGGCCACGTCGGCGACGACGCGGGACGTCGGGCCGGTCAGGCCCCGGTCCGCGGCCTTTGTCGCGCTGCGGCCCCAGCCGCGCTGGTCCCACGAGAAGACCTGGATGCCGTGCGCGGCGAGCTTGGCGAAGAAGTCGTTGTAGCGGTTGATGTGCTCGCTGAAGCCGTGGACGAATATGAGCTTGGCTACGATGGGGCCCGTGGGCTGCGATGTCACATGTGAGAACTATGGGCAACTGTTGATGGGATATGAAGGGGGGGGGGGAGACGAACCGTCCAGGTTTTTGTGTAGAGGCTCGCATTGCCCACCTTGAATGTGCCCTCTTCTGTGGTTGACATGGCGATCTGACTGGCCGATGAGGACTATCTAGGTATGATGATGACAACTTGCCACAGCCGTCTGAATGTATTGCCGTCTCTCACCAGCTCAGTGAAGATGGGTGTGTGAGGGCTGGTTAGTCGTATCGAAGCTGGCTGGAACCGACTCAGTTGGTTTAAGCTCTGGGACGCGCTGAGATGCAGCCCCTATAGGCGACTACGACATACATGTAAGCTGTTCAGCTGTCCAATTAGCGCCCGCCCGGTCCTGTCAGGGGAGGGCGCGGGTAGATCCCGGGTTCCCTCGGCAGAGCAGCCTCGTCTATTGTGTGTCTAGACAGGCCGACAGGCTGACAGGCAAGGTAATGAGTCTGACAGCCAATGTACTGGGCCTCAAAAGAGATATCGCAACGCAATGAAGAATTCGAGAGACAGGCAAACTATCATGTCATCCTCCAAGGAGTTGTTCCCATCAGCCGTGCTAGTACGACATGGCAGACATACAGCAAGACCATGATCTCGCGCGTTCATGCATTATATCTCTTCAATATCGTACAATTCCCACAACCTGCTGTCCTCAAGAAACTATGTACGGAGTAAAATCCTGCGAGTACAAGTTTAAGCGGAGTTATTACTGCGAGTACTTCTCGACACCGCCATCAGGGGCATCTGACTTTCTATGTACAAAACCATAGTTTTGCTTCTCCAACAACACCGTGATCCCGTCCCGAATAGTTTACAAAATTGTATCAAACAGCAAACAACCCCTTCTTTCATTTCATATACGTGGAATCTTCTTCTTTTTCCTTTTCTTTATTCGAGCAATAATGTACGTGCTCCCTGTGTAGTCTTCCCCTGACACTGTGGCCTTCATTCCTCAAGAGCTCCTTGGTTTATCTGCGGGTGACGAGGCCTCCTTCTCTCTGGTCTCCCGGAGCGCTTCTTCGCTTTCATCGACAAATCTCTCTTGGTCCTCATCTCTGGCTAGATCGTCTTCAATCTCCTCAAACTCCGTAATGTGAGAAGTAGACTCCCTCGGAAGCCGTGTCTCGGGGATATCGCCGCCACTCATCTGCCATTCCATCAGCTTGGTAAAGGCACTCCCCTTGTCAGCGGCAAGCTGGGCATAGCTGCCAATCTCCGCCACCTTTCCGTCCTTGTCCAGGACGATGATCTGATCGGACCGCTTGATCGTAGACAGTCGATGCGCAATGGAAATGGTGGTGTTGTGTCCACGGAGAAGCCCGGCAAGGGCCTCGTTCACCAACGTCTCCGACTCTGCATCCAGAGCCGAGGTGGCTTCGTCGAGGATCAGAATGTCAGGATCCTTGAGCAGCGCTCGAGCAATGGCGATGCGCTGCTTCTGACCACCAGACAGCTGAGACCCTCGAGCACCGACCTGGGTCTCCAGGCCATCTGGCAAGTCGCTAATAAAAGTGCAGTTTGCTCTTCTAGCTGCCGAGATGATTTCGGCGCGGCTAGCATGCGGTTTTCCGTAGGCGATATTCTCAGCAATGGTACCTGAGAACAGCACCGGCTCTTGGGAGACAACGCCGATGCGCCGTCTCAGCGACTTGACGTTCACTGTGGCGATGTCGATACCGTTGATAGTGATAGACCCAGAGGTAGGATTGTAGAATCGCAGAAGCAATGAGGCAACCGTCGACTTGCCGCCTCCTGATGGACCGACGACGCAGACGTTGCTACCAGACGCAATCTCAAAGTCCAAGCCGTTGAAGATTTTGACGGCAGGCCGGGTCGGGTAGGCGAAATGGACATTGGAGAATCGAATAGTACCCTGAGCTGACTTGATGGGAACTCCAACAGTCTGGTGAATCGTGGGCTTCCGGTCCTGCAATTCAAACAATCGGCTTGCGGCACCGACGCCCTTCATGAGCTCCGAGTAGAAGCCCGAGAGGCCGAACAGACTAGAACCCGCAAATGCGGTGTACATCATGAATGAAGTCAAGTCTCCCAAGGACATGGCGCCGGATCTTACCAAGTTTCCTCCAACAACCAGCATGGCCAAGATCGTCATGTTACCCGCCCAACCAGTCGAGGCGAAGAATGTTGCGGCAATCAATGATTCCTTTTTGCCCAACGCAAAGATCTTGCGGACCTGATTGTTGTACCGGTGAACCTCTTGGATTTCTCCGACAAATGCCTGGCTCGTCTTGATGTTTCCAAGTCGCTCTTCGGCAATCTTGGTCAAGGTACCGAGGTTCTTCTGAATCGACCTGCTCACGTTTCGAATCGCTCGTCCGTAGAAGAAGGCACCGATGGCAATGGGCGGGAACATGAGACACAGGATACCAGTAAGCTTGGCACTCGTCCAGATCATGATTGCGAATCCGGCACCGCCACTGAAGATGGCGCGAAGACCATCGCTCAGGTTGGACGTAATGGACTTGCCCACAATGACCGAGTCAGAGCCGAGCCGCGAAATGAGATCACCGACGCGATTGGCGTCGAAGAATTCGGCATCCTGAACGTAGGTTTTCCTGTAAAGCTGGGATCGCAACCTGGCAACGACTCTCTCTCCGATGATGCGCAGCAAAATGACTCGTCCAAAGCTGGTGATGGCTCCAAGCGTGAGGACACCTCCGAGGCACATGAAGAACTGATTCAGAGTGAGGCCAAAGATGTTCACGTTATCAACGTCGCCCTTTGTCGAGATGTCGAGGATTCGTCCGACGGAGAACGGTATCAGCATGGTAACGCCAGAGGAGATCATGAGGAAGAAAAAGGCCAGGCCCAGCCAGCGAGCTTCGGGTTTGGCAATCGAGATCAGCCTCCATATTTCCTTCATGCCAGCCTTTGCTTGGGGCTTGCCCTCCTTTGACAGTCTAGCAGATAGGTTGACTTGCGCCGCGTGGGCAGCCCTTTCGCTCTTTTGGAACTCTTGGCTGACTTCGTCCTCGGTCGTATTCTTTGCTTGCCGAGCTGGCTCCAGTGCTTGTTGATTCGCATTCTGAGTATTTGACTGGATCTCTCGCGCAGCAGAAGAGGTTCCGGAGAATCGGCGAGCTAGATGCAGTATATGTCCATGGCCAGCTGATGATCGAAGTCCGAGACCAGCATGCGATTGCGGCTGAGAAGAAGCTTGATATTGATATTGAGACACCCGCAGAGACCCCGCGAGCGTATGGAATCCAGCAGGCGTAAACGACGGAAGCATGCGCGGGCGAAGCAATTGCGGCTGGCACAGACGAGACTCGGGCTTCGGGAACAGTTGCGACAGAGGAGCGCGACTCCAGGCTGCAGATTCTTGCGAGCCTCCAACTGCTAGCCTGGGAGGCAGCGCTCGTCGCAGCGTCCCGGCATTCATGATTACCGAGGGGACGCCCAGCGGTGCAGCATGAGTTGCTGGGAGCCGTTCGGAGAGGAAAAGCCGGTGGTTCGGCTGCTGGAGGCGGCGGTTGGTGCAGAGGCGTTGACTTGAAGAGAATGAATGACGAAGAGAGGGCAGAGAAAAAAAGCACCCCAAGAGGTTCACGCAGCCGGGCTAAGAGACTGGATCCGTGGTGCCGTCATAGTCGCGGCATTTACAGCTGCAAGGCGCTGGAAGCTGGCGCTGGAATGCGACTCCAGAGCGCCCCAGTCTGGCGAGCTTTAGTGGGCGTGGCTCGGCCGAAGGTCGGCACAACGTGGACTCGATTGCGCTCCGGGCTCCGTACGGGCGTCAGGCCGAGATGCAAGCTCCGAGCCCCGATACATGTGGTGAGCACAACTGCAGAAGGGCCGCGACGCAACAGATCATTTTCTCCAATAGATGCATCAAGTGATATGAATCGTTATATTATTTACCCGTCAGGTACAATTACTCGACATGTGCTATATGCGAACCAAACTGGTCATCATAACGTTGGTGCGTCCAGAGTCTCGGAGGACTTGGAGGACATGCTCCTCCCGACGCTTTGACAGGGTGCGAATCCAGCCATGGCATGTTCAGATATGAAATATGAATCCCCATTACAAGGTGTCATACCATGTACAACTGAGCCAATCTCATCCTATGCTAAAGACCAACCTTCGATGGATGTAGCAGAGATAACCAAACCACTACCCCAAAGATGACTCTTCCCTCTCATAGCACATCTTTCCGTCCAAGAAGCGCACGTAGGGCCCTTACCCAGCATCTCTCCTCTCGAGTGGTACCATCCATCTGACTAGGCGTCGTTGCCCTCTTTCAACATTTGTGCCACCTCGGCATCTATCTCGTCATCATTCCCCAGATTGGGAAAGTCGCCAGCGTCGTCCACTCGCCGCCTCTTATTGGAACCGTTGATCGATATCGGTAGTGCTTGAGTATGCGTCGAGGGCACGGCCGCGGCGGGTTCAGTTGCTGGGGCGACTTCCGAGTGTTTGGCGCTCTCGTCCACTCCAATACTCTCCGGAGCAGTGTCCTCAAAGTCATTGTCCATACTGGGCGGTGTAAGAGCCTCCATCTCCGGGCGGTCAAGCTCCGTAGGAGGGCTGCCGGATTCGCCCTCCGCATGAGACCCATTGCCATCCGCAGGCCCAAGCGCCCTCATGATGGCTACCTCGACCTGCTGCTTCTTATCCTCGATTTCGCGTTTGCGCCCCGAGAGCTCGGCGGCTGCGCTCTTCTCCTTTTCCAAGGCGGCCCTGTTTGAATCCAGCATCTTCTCCAGCCCCGAGATCAACGTCTCTCGGGCCTTGACGCACTCAGCCACCGCACTCTCGGCGTTCGCAAGGGTCTTGAGCAACCCATTGAGGCGAGCCGCATAAACCGGCGCCGATGGAGGCGGCACTGTAGGATCGACCTGCTTTTCATACTCTTGGTTTGCGGAAGCAATGGTTGACTTGAGTGGCACGCTCAGCTTGGTGACGGTTTGATGGGCGGAGACGAGAGGCGTGAATTCCGAGGGCACAGAAGAAGCGGATGATCCGAAGGGGGAGCCTCCAAAGCCGGGCTTAACGGATCCGCGGGCTTTATCTAATTCTGCTCTGATGGTTAGCATCTTGCTACTGGCTCCAAGCAAAGCTCCAAGCGAAACAGCTGGGTCTCATACCATTGAGGCGTGCTTCGATAGCTGCCTGAATCGGCGCCTCGAAGATGGTTCTGTCTTTCCAGACGTCAATGACACGCCGCAGCTTGGCTTGGATCTCCGCTGGCGCGCCCTTGTATGCGACCGCGGCTGCTTCAGCCACAACGGGGGAGAAGGCGATGACGAAGTCTTCTTTGTGACGGATTCTCGACTGCTGCACAACCTCTTCACACGACGTGTTAGCATCCGTCGTTGCATCCGAGCTGGGCATGACTGTGGAAATGGGAAAGGTAACGACGTTTCGGTGACGGTGGTGAAGGAGCGCATACCATTCGCAAGGTAAATCAGGCTCAGTCGTTTCGTGCTGGACGAATCCTTTAACCGCTGCATCCAGAGCGCTACCGTGCGATCTGCGTGTCGCCTGAGCGTGGTCAATTAGCACGTTTACGCCTTGAACCATCATCTTCGGCTTTCAAAGCAGCTGAAGCTATTTACCTGTGAAACATGATCCATTGCGCGGCTGTGGCGATGCTATCATGACTTTCGTTCAGTGCTGACAGACGCGCCAGGACTGAGTCGTCATTGTACGCCATTATGGCAACTGGATGATTGCACCGGGCTGCGATATTTGTATGGAGTCGAGGCAGAAGCACACACAACCGTCCACCGGTTGTCTCTACGGGCGAGTGTCCCTATGGGAGCAGATTTGGCGCTGCGACGCGATGGAGATAAAGTCTACAGCAAGGCAGTGAGTGGGCCTTGGAGCTCAAGCTGCAGCCTCGCGACCAGCTGAGGTAGTCAGTCAGCTTGCAATTGAGGCAGGTCGGACTGCTATCAGGAGACCAAGAGCTGTGTGCAGGTTCAATGGATGGATGCGGAGGTGAAGGGGATCGAATTAGAAAGTCAGGAGGCAAATGAATATCAGCCAAGGAATGTAGAAGAAACTCGACCGAAGAGCTGAGCGAGAGTTGGGTGAGAGGTCCGTCAAAAGTCTGGATAAGTGCAAGTCCTGGCGTGCCTGTACGGCATTATGCAATACTGGGCGCGCAGAGCTGCGTCCTAAGCCACTCACCGCCCGGCAGAATACGGCCGCAGTAACCAGGGACAACAGCGAACAGATGGTCACTGCTAGCGAGTGCCTGGTTGCGCAAGCGAATACTAACACGATCAACGAATCTCACACTCCTTTGGCCATTCTCATCAGCGCTCTGCTCTCGCAACAAATTCGCATTTGGACACGCTTTTAGTTGCTTCTACAGACCTTCAGAATGGCGGACCGATTTCCTTCGCTCGAGGACTTTGACTCTGGAGGTATGCTCCTGAATCGACGCCGGGGACCTGGCCCCCATGCTTGCCCCCATGCTAACCACTGCTCGTCAGCGCAAACCGAAATCCAGAATGTTTCCGACGAGCCCTCTGCTGAAGACTTCCTCGCCAGAGAAAAGGCTCTCCTGGGCGATGATGCGAACCAGTTCGCGACGAGCGATGACGCAAACGCACTGGCCGACACTAGTGGAGATCTCCTGGGCGAGACCACTGCTGCGGAATCGACCTTTGAGTCTCAGTTCCCGGACCTCGCCAATCCTGCTGCTGTATGTTTACGTTGAATCTTGCCAAAACTCAACTGCGAAGCGCTGACAAGACTCGGAAACCAGGGCCTTGCAGGAGTAGATGGAAACATCATGACCGGTCCCTCTGTAAGCTATAACTCGGGTTACCAGACATATGCCGCGGACGAGGAAGAGCCCGAGGTCATTAAGCAGTGGAGAGAGACCCGCGATGCCCAGATTGCCAAGAGAGCCGAGCAGTTCGCCGCTCAGCGAGAGGAGACGATACAGGAGGCTCAGCGAAACATCGACGACTTCTATGAGAACTACAACTCCAAGAAAGAGAAGGGCATTGCGCAGACACGCAAAGAAGCCGAGGAGTTCCTTGCGAACAGGGAGGATACCGTCTCTGGGGGCACAAGCTGGGACCGCATCGCGAAGCTTGTCGATGTCAGCGGAAAGGGGGCCAAGGGCGGAGCCGCCGGATCTGGCAAGGAGCGCTTCCGTGAGCTGCTTGTGAGCCTGCGCAAAGACGAGAAGGCTCCTGGCGCAACTGGCTACTAATGTTGGATAATCTGGGTTGACACACCATAATTGTGGCATTGCGTTGCCTGGTTCCAGTGGGCAAGGAAGGGCCGGATCTCTGTCTTGCGGTACATTTTGATTTGCACTTTTTTTTTCTACCAACGCAAATACCGGATTGGTACAATGAATAATGGCTACGCATAATTCAACAGGAGAGAAAAGAAACCAACGACCAAGAGCTAGATAAACGCGACTAGAAGCATCGCGATATCAAAGGCAGGGGGAGCGAATCCGAGAGGTGGACTTCAAAAATCCTATATTTACTGTCTACAAAGACTCCAAAAGTCATACATTTCCCTTACCCTGCATTTGCCGCAAGTTGGAGTGAATTCAACCGCCTGTCCTAACCACGAACTGTTCTTTAATCCTTGCCGAACCAGGTGTTGTGGCCGGCAACCTTTCGGCTGGCAGCGTAGATGGAAGCTATGACTTGTTTAGCTCTCGAGTTCCGTAACCAATGCTGTACCGCTCAACTCACCTCCGAAGCCTCCCCAAAGAGCGACGAGGTAGGGGCCCATGTACCAGCGGCTGCGAGGGTGCTGTCGGCTTGTGTTAGTACGGGGGTCGGACTTCGCGATCGAGAGCTCATGCGTACAATCTTCCACAGACGGGTGTGAGCCTTGTAGGCGGCCTGGTAGAAGCGCTGGTACTCAGGCACCTTGTTCTTGGCGTCGATCAAGCTATGAGCAGGAGCGTCAGTCGAGGTCCTCCAAGCTGATGTCGTCGATATGCGCAGAAGGAAGACTCTGAGGAGGCCCGGAGCCGGGCAGCAATTGAGGGCTTCTGCGGAGCGTCGCTGGTCGGCGGGAGCTTACCCCATGTTTGCGGTTGGTTGGAGATGCGTTCGGGGCTTCTTCTGGAGGATTGCTTCGTGGTGGAGTGATTCCTGTAGTCGGGATGTCGGAGGAAGAGCCTTGGTTCAAGAAATGAGGCCATATTCTAGCTCAAAAGTGGGTAGCCGGATGACTCAGCAGCTGGCATGGCGCACAAACTGCTGAAGGAAAGTGCAGCTTGCCGCGGCGGGAGAGGAAGGAGGTACGTACCGGCCGGTAGTGGGGTGCAGCTGCTGCGACCAGAAACCGCCAATTACATGCGTTTGTGTGAACATCGCCGTCTGAAAAGCGAAGCCTCGCCATCTCTCCAAATTTGCGGTTGCGGCACGACAATATCCTTCAGCTTCAGGACCGCCTGAAGGCGTTCGAACAGAACCAGCGGCACCGCGACGACGAACGGCCCAATGTGGTGATATGCCTCTGGAGTCGGCGGCTGGCTGGAGACAATCCCAGGAATGCGAGGAGCCGTGAAGTTTGCACCAGATCGCCCGGCATCGACTCGACTTCTCCCCAAGCTCTCGCAGGCGCCGCTCACAAGGGTCCGGCATCGTTCCCAGCACTTCTCTGCCCTAGCTCGCCCATTTACTACTCCAGGTTTATATCACGCTCCTAGAGCCCCTTCTACAGTCGCTCCTGGAAGCTCTGATTGGCAGCAATGGCGAGCAATCTCTGCTGGGAACTCGACTTCCTCGCTGCAGCCATCAGGATGGAGGAACTACGGGGGACTAGGGCAGACGCGGCAGCGACATGATGCATCCACGGGTCTCCTCTCATCAAACGAATCTCTCGCCACAAGGATCAGCAAGAGTCTCGAAGACGCCGAGGTTGAGGTCCAGCCCTACGATGCCGCCACGTGGGAGGCCGTGTGCGACATTCTATCAGACAAGCATGGATCCGACGGCGTCTGGGCTGTCTTTCAGGCCATTTGGCACCGGGAGAAGCATGACATGATCATCTTCCGCGATGCAGAATCTCTGCGTGATAAAATTCTCTCGGCGGCGCTGGGCTCGGATTTGCGGTTATCTGCACTTTTCACCGCGGCCCAGCAGTTGCTCGCTGAGTACGATTTTCAATGGCCCGGTTTTTACACGAGAGTGCTGCGCTTTTTCCTCGAGCGTGGCGCATATAAAGAGGCAATCCACTGGGATCAGCAGCTGGCACCCGTCTTTCCAACTGGAGCGGATGAGTTTGGCGCTTTGCTGGCGACCTTTGTCGTCAAGCCTACTCCTGAGATGCAAACCACCTTGACGACGCTCTATGTCTCCAGCGCGAACCGCCAACTATACGACTACATCATACCAGCTCTCTTTGCTTCTGGCCAATCGCAACTGGCCCGCACCTGGCGCAAAAAACTTATCTTGTTCAAGGACTTTCCGTTGACATCCAAATGTCGACCGTTTCTACTGTTCCTTGCCAGCTACTATCCGCACATACAACTCACGGAGAGTGAGCTTATGGTTGCTGATCTCGATCGTCAAGAATTAGCTGAGGCGGATGACGATGAGTCTTCATTCGAGGTCGTTAGCAAGAGCGTCGATAGAAGGGGCTCCCACAGCGACGCACTTGTTGCGAAATGGCTTGCCAGCACATGGGCATCCGTGGAGTTTGCCATCAACGTCATCTATAAGCTCGGGGTGCGAACAATCGGCCCTCGCTCTCTGCAAGCCCTTGCGCTGCGAGACCCCGATGCTAAAGAAGTCGCGACACGCATAGATCAGATCGAGAGGCTGGGTATGAGAATATCACCTCACGCGTATTGCAAGATTCTGGCTTCATTTGCAAGAAATGGGTCAGACGAGCTGTTGCAAGACCTGATCCATTGCGACATCCACCCAGACGAATTCGAAGACATGGAAACTCGACACTCTCTCATGGCCGAGGCAGCAAGGACGGGAGACTGGAAGATGGAACGGCTCCTTCAGGGTATCGAATGGGCAATCGAGACGGGACCGACATCTCGACGCCTCAACTCCCTGCTCCGGAATGAGCTTTCCAAGCGGAGCTTGGGGAAAGCAAAGCAAGTGCTTGATCGCATGGAAGCACTGAAGATCAGCATGGCCCAAGCCAGTGCGACGGGGCTCCTGAGGCGGGTGTTTTGGAAGCTCGACACTCATCCTGCTCAGCGACAACAACGACCTCCCATTGAGATCGATAACCCTATGCTGGATCGAGCGCTCAACGTCATACGCCGCGTCTCATGCCATGAAGTCGCCATTCCTACAAAGTACTGGACAACGCTTCTCTACAATCTGGGTCGCTCCAGACGCCTTGATGACCTCGAGCAGCTGAGCTTGGAGATTATGCAGTTCTACACACCTCCGTACGGAGGGTTAGTGCCTGTGCACCGGGAAGATTTACCGAAGCACTTCAACACGGAGGAAAAGGAATATATACCAGCAGACTTGCCGTTCGTGCACCACCATCACCCCGTTCGGCTCATCTTTGATACTTCGCTGCAGCGCTCCATCGTGAGATGGGGATTCGACCAGACTCTGGCGACCAAACCCCGGTCATCAACGTCTCTTACGCAGTCAGGGGCGGCAGACTTTTCGCAGTTTGATGTCGCCCGCGGAGTCCGTCTATTGGCTGTACTACGAGACCAGGGTGCCTTGATTGACACACAGGTGGTCCGCTCCAGCATCATCACCCGCATCGCGACCTCATTGGTCCCTGGGCGGCCTAGACATCGATCGAGGGACAGCGTTGAGTTCTCTGTAGAGCATCTGGTACGCTTGGCCGAGGAGGCATGGGGCTCAGAGATGTTTCCCGACGTGCCGGCAGCAGTTCGAGAAGTTGACGACCGAGTATCAAAGTTATGGCACCGATACCCAAGATTAATCGACAGGACTCTGGATAACACCGTACATAAGAGGAGGTACAAGCCGAATAACGAAGGACAGTTGGATAGTTAGGATCTATATCTGGGCACACGCAGGAGAGGCCCCTTTGTACAATATCTACACAGAAACTTGTAATTAAGTCTAATCAAAACCGATAACTCCAGGTGCATTGTTGTTTGTTCCTGGGCAGCATTATTCACTCCCCTTGTTGATGGCACGATCATACGTCCTGAAGCAGAACGACCACCAACCGCTTGTCAAAACGCCACGCCGAACCACAGTCGTGGGGACATCTGTCCATCCACTTCCACCCCCTTTCTACCATGGCATTTTGCTTCACCTCCTTCTCTCTCTCATCCCCAGCCAAACCAATCACGCTACTCAGTCCCTATTCTTCTTCGGCTTGACGAGAAGCAGAATGAATAAGCCCGCAACCAGCAGCAATAGCAAGAGAATAATCTTCCTCTTGATACTCCTCTTCTGATATCCCGAGGCAATCTTGAGCTCCTTATCAGCAGCCTTGACCTCGGTATTCATGCGCTCGACGTTGTAGTCGATGCGATCCAGCATGGTGCCCTGGTCGATGATCATGGTCTGCAGGTCGCGGAAGAGGTCGGACAGCTCGATGATGCCCTGCGCAATCTCCTCGATCTCGCGCTCGCGCTGGGCGATGGCGGCGTCGTTGGAGTGCAGCGTCTTCTGCTGCATGGCGACCTGCAGGGTGGACTGCGAAAAGGAGCGGTCGGCGTCGGATTCTTGGAGGGACGGGTCCATGAAGGAGGAGCCGGGCATGGGGGACGTCGGGCGGTCGATGGGGCTGATGGCGCCGAGGCCGCCCATTCCGCGGAGTTCTATGCACCTTTGAAGTCAGTTATTGTTGTCGCTATTTTGTCTTCGCGGGTTTGATGGTGCTTTGTTTGAGGAGGGAGGCGGACTCTTGAGATATGCGCTCTGCTTCTTGCGAAAGTTTGCGCTTGCTTCCTGGACTCTTGTGGCCAGTGATATCTGTATGTTCTTGGCCATGGTCTCCTCCGCCCTGGTCATGGTGCCGGACTGCTTCGACTCGCGGATCATGTGCTCGACCTTTTGGATGCGCTGGTGGCACTGGTGGAAGCTCCGGGTGATGTCCTGCGTAAGCCTCTCGATCTGGACCTCCTCCGTCTTCTTGGCCTCGTCGTCGTCGAAGCCGGGCAGGACGTGCGTCTGGTGCAGCTTGTCGAGCCGCTGGCTCTTGGTGGCGATCTCGGCCAGCAGCTCTGTGATCTCGTCCGACACATCGGTCCACCGCGGGGGCAGCAGGTCCATCTCAATCACGGCGTCGCCATCGTCCTCGAATGCGCCGCTCGACAGCAGCCCGCGGCGGTCCTCGTGCGCGGCGAAGCCGCTGCTACTGGAGTAGGCGTCCGAGAAGCCTCCGGCGGCGGCATACTTGGATCGCTGGCTGGGGTGGTGGGCGTACGACTGGCGGTAGGAGATGTAGCTGCCGGTTTCCAGGTCAGATGGGGGACGGATGCCAACTCAGCCAAGAAAGAGGGCGAAGGCGAGTTCGGGAGTCAAGGACGGTTTGCAGCGATCTAGGACGTACAGGTTTGTGCGGTCGCGCCACATGGCGGACGCTTGGGGGTGGTCTTGCGGCCTGTCAGGACGGGATACAGGGTCGAGCGATGGACGGAGGGCCCTGTTTGGATATCTGTACTGGATTGTTATGGAGGCGGAGCTGGGGGACTCATGTGGTTGACGGGCATCATCAGCACCTGGAGATGGGATGTGAAGCTGGATGGGCGCATTACGACATGTTCGTGGTGAGCAGCGGCTGTTACAGACCCGGCGCTAGCCTGAAGCGGGCGGGTTCGGGCGGTGGGCCGGCCGGCTCTGGCCAATGAAGGGGCAAGTTCACACGGTGTTTACACGTGTCATGAGCCATTGCAGCTGGGACACTTTTGTCTCGTCAGACGGTGATGTTGTCACAGGAAAGCGTACAAGTCTTAACAGATAGATACCTGTAGGCTGTATCTGAGGCACTATCTCCGGCGGGTTGCAATTGTACTTGTAGGACTACCTCCCCAGTGGTGCGCGCACCGTCGAATGAAAACCATCTGTGTGCCTGTGATCATGGCATCATGACCCCTTCAGCTGGCTGGCACCCAGCAGTGACGAGGCCCAATCGTCCGTACAGTGCGAGCAGCGCCGCCCTGCAAATCCTCCCCCCAAAACAGAACCGCCGCCAGCACAGCGCTGCACCGGTGCTACAGAGTCCTACTGCACCGCCAAAGGGGGCCTTGCTAGCCGAACGGCCTAATGGGCTGCAGCAAGGCCGCGACCCAGTTCGGCCAGTCCTAGCATGGCCGGCCGGGGTCTCTGTGCCTGACCACTGGACCGATACAGTGTTACTGCACGTATAAAGCACCCTGTGCCGAGTCTGCCTTACAGGCCCCCTGAACTGCAGCGCACCTCTTGTTCTGCTTCGTCCTCTCCCCACGTCAACGACAAGCCCAGCCCAGGTAACAAAAGCTCCCGCCCTCGCTAAAAGGCGCCACTAACGCTGTCCATCTCATTTAAAGTCGAGCCTCTGGATCTCTCCGGCCTTCAGACGCTACGCTCTCTATCTCTCTCTCTCTTCGCTCTCTATAACCGCTATTCACATTCTTCGCAATGGTGAGTGTCTGCGCAGGCCGCCGCCATCGGTCGACTTGTCTCAGAGGCGCAACCCCGCGACCGCTGAGGGGCTGCACCCCCCCAATTCAGGAGCTTTTGTGTGAACTCAACTGACCCGCGAGCCCTCCAACAGGCTGATTCTCTCACCGAAGAGCAGGTCTCCGAGTTTAAGGAGGCCTTCTCTCTCTTTGTGAGTCTTTCCATCATCTGCTGCGGCCACCTGGTAGGGGGGCCGTTGTTCAGGGTGCTAACCGAGCTGCTACAGGACAAGGACGGCGATGGTACGTGATGGCGAGTGACGCGACAACACATTTATTTCCCTCTCTCGAAACCCGCATCGAATCAACTTGCTGCGATCGATAGCTCTCTCATCGGCTCGAATCATGATAAATGGACAAGAAACTGACGGGCTTGACCCTGTAGGCCAGATCACCACCAAGGAGCTGGGCACCGTGATGCGCTCTCTGGGCCAGAACCCTTCCGAGTCGGAGCTGCAGGACATGATCAACGAGGTCGATGCCGACAACAACGGCTCCATCGACTTCCCTGGTACGTGACTCGCCGGAGGACTTGGTGGCTGAGGAATACGGGCTAACGTGGAGCGGTGAAGAATTTCTCACCATGATGGCACGGAAAATGAAGGACACCGATTCCGAGGAGGAGATCCGGGAGGCATTCAAGGTTTGTTGCCGGCAGCCTGCAGACTTTTTTTTCCCCTTGTGGAACGTTTGCTAATCGAGCGATCAGGTCTTTGACCGTGACAACAACGGCTTCATCTCCGCTGCCGAGCTGCGCCATGTCATGACTTCCATCGGCGAGAAGCTGACCGACGACGAGGTCGATGAGATGATTCGCGAGGCCGACCAGGACGGCGACGGCCGAATCGACTGTGAGTAATGACGAGAAGAGATGCCTAGCGTCTCTTATCACACCTGTGCCGTCGGATGCTAACGTATCTGCGTAGACAACGAGTTTGTCCAGCTCATGATGCAGAAATAAGGGGTAACGTCTGGAGTTTTTTTTTTTTGGCGGCCATGCCATCTATCCGGCCTTGTCAGGGGCCATTGATGATGGCTGACCCGTACGGCGAGTTGAGGTTGTTGGCACGCACACAACTGTTGTTAAAACTCATTTAGTCGACGTTTGTTCCTTATACTACTGTCCAATCTACGAGCGGTTCTCGTTCATGGCGTGTTTAGAGTGGTGATGTTTTGTTCTGTTCTGGCAGCAGTCCAGGTGCTAGGTAGATACCCTAGACCGTTTTGAAGCATACCGTCGAGTTATCAACCAGCTGCTCTTTACGCATGTCTGCGTAGGGTCTGTGTGTACGAGTAGCGTGATGGCAGCTTGGTGAACTCAGCTGGGACGTGGAGCCTCGTATCGACTTGCTGCCTTGGCTGCTTGATACCTGAGTACCTTAGATGACTGCTGTATCACCATGGCTTGACGTGTTGGAACTTCCACATTTACATGCTTCCTGGTCAAAAGCTCGACAATGTCCTTAACAAAAAGCACGGAGAAGTATTCTGTACCCATATACAGATTGGTATAATCTTGACTTTCTAGTAAATTCTTGAGAACAGTACCTTTATGTTTATTATCAGCCGCCATCACCAAAGTGTTCTATCAGGTGACTATCATAGTTTATCACGTCGAGATGCTCTACACAAGAAGGGTCCTGTATGGTCATTTACTACATCCACAATTCGATATGCCTCGATAACTGCATTGCGGCTACAGAGGCCATGTACCAGCAAATGAGAAGTACCTCGCGCCGGCGCCGCACTCCGTCACAGCAAGCGTGATGCCGCCCACGCTCAGGTACCGCCAGCGCCGGGGTACCGCGACGCCTTGCCGGGCCATTCCTTTTTCCGCCCGCCACGGCGTGCCTTGGCCCATGATGCAGCGTGTCCTGCCCCACGTCCGAGCTGGCTCAGGTACATACTGTTACTGTACTTGCAGGTAGAGCGAGCGACGACTCGGATAGGGAGCTGGCGGCATTGCGACTCCTGCGTTTGACACACACGAGCACGCTCTCCAGCACCACCGTCGCGGCTGTCTGCACTTCTCGCCATTCTGCCAGGCGTCAGCACTAACGGGCCCCTTTGAAGCCTCGCCGTGCCTGTGTATGCGAGCCTGAGAGCCGGGGCATCGCTGTCCACTGCTGTTACAAGTTACCGACTGCTGGCTGGCTCACCACCGCTTCCCGCCATCCACCGCCTGCGGCTCCTTTGGATAACAGCCCTGTGAGACGAGCCTGTCCCGAAGATGAGTTCCTGTATGCAGCTTTGCCTCTTCCCATCGCCGGCCTTTGAGGTTCTGATGGCTGATCTGCGTCTGCGTCCCCAGTGAAGCAATTCATCCGCAACGTGCGTGCGGCCAAGACGATTGCCGACGAACGAGCCGTCATCCAGAAAGAGAGCGCCGCGATCAGAGCCAGCTTCCGCGAGGAGGGCCACGACCATAGCATACGGTGGGTTTCTTGTCGAGTCTGCGTCTTGCGTGAGCGAACAATGGACAGAAGTGCTCATTAGGCGGATGGTGACAGGCGTAACAATGTCGCGAAGCTGCTCTACCTCTTCACCCTGGGCGAGCGAACCCACTTCGGCCAGGTCGAATGCCTGAAGCTCCTTGCATCCCCACGATTTGCCGACAAGCGCCTTGGCCATCTCGCTACGAGCTTGCTGCTGGACGAGAAGCAGGAGGTCTTGACGCTGGTGACCAACTCATTGAAGAAGTAAAAACCAACCCAGCCCCCCCCGCCCCTTACATGCCCACCATTGCTTGTTTTCTGTGTGGCAGCAGACGGGTTCTGATTACCGTTGTCTAGCGATCTGAGCCACTCGAACCAATATGTCGTCGGACTCGCCCTTTGCACCCTCGGAAACATTGCGTCCGATGAGATGTCGAGAGACCTGTTCCCGGAAATCGAAAACCTCATCTCCACCGCGAATCCCTACATCAGGCGAAAGGCTGCCCTTTGCGCCATGCGGATATGTCGCAAGGTTCCCGACCTCCAGGAGCACTTTGTCGAAAAAGCCACGGCACTCCTCTCCGATCGAAACCACGGCGTTCTCCTTTGCGGACTGACTCTGGTCACGAGCCTGTGCGAGGCGGACGAGGAAGAAGGCGGCGAGGAGGGCATGGTTGAGAAGTTCAGGGCGTTCGTACCCGGGCTCGTCAAGACGTTAAAGGGCCTTTCGACGTCGGGGTACGCCCCGGAGCACGATGTCACTGGCATCACCGACCCCTTCTTGCAGGTCAAGCTTCTGCGGCTGCTGAGGGTGCTGGCTGTGGGGGACGCCCACACGAGCGAGCAGATTAACGATATTCTGGCGCAGGTGGCGACCAATACCGACTCTTCTAAAAACGTTGGGAACTCGATTCTCTACGAGGCCGTGCTTACGATCCTGGATATCGAGGCCGACTCTGGGCTGAGAGTCCTGGGTGTGAATATACTGGGCAAGTTCCTCACCAACCGAGACAACAACGTCCGTTACGTCGCGCTCAACACTCTCATCAAGGTGGTCGCCATCGAGCCGAATGCGGTCCAGAGGCACCGAAACACCATCCTGGAATGTCTCAGGGATCCCGACATCAGCATCCGGAGGAGGGCTCTCGATCTGAGCTTTACGCTCATCAACGAATCCAACGTGCGGGTGCTCATCAGGGAGCTGTTGGCCTTTTTGGAAGTGGCAGACAACGAGTTCAAGCCCACCATGACCAGCCAGATTGGCATCGCCGCCGACAAATACGCCCCGAACAAGCGGTGGCACTTTGACACGATGCTGCGCGTCTTGTCGCTGGCGGGCAACTACGTCAAGGAGCAGATCCTCTCGTCATTCGTCCGCCTCATCGCCACCACCCCCGAGCTCCAGACCTATGCCGTGCAGAAGCTCTACACCAACCTCAAGAAAGACATTACGCAAGAGAGCTTGACGCAAGCTGGCGCTTGGTGCATTGGCGAGTATGGTGACGCGCTGCTCAAGGGTGGCCAGTACGAGGAGGAGGAGCTTGTCCAGGAGGTCAAGGAAAGCGACGTTGTCGACCTGTTCTCCCTCATTCTCAACAGCAGCTATGCCACGCAGGTCACCACTGAGTACATCATCACAGCCCTCATGAAGCTCAGCACGCGCTTCTCCGACGCTGCTCCGGTAGAAAAGATACGGCGCATCCTGCAGATGCACCAGACCAGCCTGGACGTGGAGGTGCAGCAGCGAGCTGTCGAGTACGGCAACCTGTTTGCATTTGACCAGGTCCGCCGAGGAGTGCTGGAGAAGATGCCGCCTCCCCAGATCAAGGAGGAGTCCAGGGTGCTGGGCCGGGCTCCCTCAAAGAAGGCCAAGAACGCGAACCGGAAATCCAAAATCATCAAGCCTACCGAGCAAGACCTTTTGGATATCATGGATACACCGGCCACCGTGGCTGCGCCAACCAACGGATCCCAGGCGACAAACTCGGATCTTCTGGCCGACATTCTGGGTGGTTCATCGGCGGCACCCACGTCTGCCTCCCCTGGGCCGCAGCAGTCCAACATCTCGTCCATCATGGACCTCTTTGGCCCCGGGCCGGCCACCCAAGGCGCGCCCGCATCAGCACCTCCGTCGGCAGGCCTCGACATCATGTCTCCTGTCGCATCTCCGTCACCCCAGCAGCAGCAACAACCGCCAGCACCCCCAGGCCAGGCAATTCCCTGCTACAATGCCAATGATCTCAACGTGACTTTCACAGTCCAGCGCAACGCGGAGGGACTAATCCAAGCCGTGGCTCGATTCCAGAACACTTCCACGTCGACACCGCTCTCTGGCGTCGGATTGCAGGCTGCCGTTCCAAAGTCTCAGAAGCTGCAGCTGCTGCCCATTTCATCCCCGGAGCTTGGACCTGGGGCAGAGACTACTCAGATGATGAGAGTAGCTGGTTGCAAAGGGGTAAGTTTTGTCTTTGAACACTTTTTTTTTTTCGACATATTTACTGACAGTGTTGACAGCCTCTGCGATTGCGACTACGCATCACTTTTACTCACCCTGCAAGAGGGCAAGTAGTGGACCAAGTGAACTGGTCGGAGCAGTCGTAGATGGATGGATTCTTTGCAGCAAGCGGGCTATGTTACTGGTTATTGAGAGTTAATATGGAGTATAAATATGAAGGTACTGGAGGAGGCTGTAGATGTCCAAAAATCACAGGGGAGTATAATTGCAGGACTACTATATCTGGAGCCGTGTGACGACTGGTTGAGGAAGGCATAATGATTTAGAGGCATCAGTGAGAGTTGGTCTACTCTGTTCAAGTATTCAAGCTGATATACACAACACAGTCTGTTGACACACGATTTTATACATGGCAATCACTTTGTCATTTGCCAGGTGTTGCGCACAACGACTTGCTGTTGTGTCTTGGATGTGATAGGCTCTGGGCTAGCGAACTTGAATCTCATGTCAGCACCGGTTGGATTTCACCCGTTCTGCCTTCTTTGAGCGAGCAGAACGTAACATCACACATCGCACATCACGCATCTCCTCGGAACGGAAACGGAATTGCAACCCCCCACTGCATCAACCAGGAGCCAAAACCATTTGATGCTCTGGCGAATATCGGCAAAACGCTGCTGTCTAGTTGCATCACGGCGGGACGCGGCGGCATTCATTTCGTCATACGGCGGGACGGCGGCGTCTAGTAAGACGCATCAATTATTACACGGATCGAGGGCGATGATGATGAGCTCGAGTGAAGACAAGGGGAGGAGGACGGGACATCTTGAGAGAACAGCGGATGAACCTAGAGATGCGGTAAATTTCTCTCTTTCTCTCCCCCTTTCTGAGTTTGGCTGTTTGTTTTGAGTCGTCTTTCAATGTGTGTATTGTGGGAATCTGTTGTTGTCGAAGTCAACATGTTAATTTGTGGATGGGGTTTTTTAGGATCTTCATGAGGTGCGGCTGGAGAGGATTGAGCAGGTGAATGAGAGGGTGAGGCTGTTTCGACTGAGCCTTCTCTCGGGACCGGTAAAGGTGAGCCCCATCTTCCTCCCCGTTCTATATTGGAAATTTGGAGCAACGGGTTTTGGATTGACAAGGAACCTCAATGTGACAAAGTTTCTGCCCGGCCAATGGCTGGACACATATATCCCCGGCGTCCCGAAAGCAGGCGGCTTCACCATAACATCCGCCCCCTCTGCTTCGTCATCTTCTTCATCTTCTGCTGAGGAGGAACCGCCGTATTTCGAGCTCGCGGTGCAGGAATCGCCAGAGAATGAGCCTGCGGCGTGGCTGTGGCGGCCGGCCGGCGAGATATTGGGGGAGACGCTGAGGGTTCGCGTCGGGGGACGGTTTGTGTTTCCTCCTCCTCCTCCTCCTCCTCCTCTTGTGCCCCCTTTCAGCAGTGGTGAAGACGGTTCTTCTGTTTCCACTGCGTCTGATGGTGGTGGTGGTGGTGTTGTTGGTAGAGGAGGGCTGAAAAAGGTCGTCTTCGTGGCTGGCGGCGTGGGCGTGAATCCACTCGTCAGCATGCTCAGCTACATCGCCGACAACAACAGCAGCAGCAACGACGGCGCCAGCATCAGCGGGCAAACGCCTCTCGTCGACGAGGTAGTCTTTCTCTACGCGAGCAAGATGCCTCGAAGCGGGGAACTCTCCGATGTCCTCTTCCTGGATAGGATCACGCGCTTGTTTGGCGAGGGGAAAGTGAAAGGAAGGGTGAAGCTGTTTGTAACAGGGACCGGCGCTGCGGCTTCTTCTTTGCAAGGGGCGGGCGAGACGAGAGTGATTAATGGGACGAGGGTAGAGGTGCAGAGGCGACGGTTTACGGCGGCGGAGGATGTGGAGGATGCCGTGGGGGACGATGGGAGGGATGATCCGGGGACGGTGGTGTATGTCTGTGGACCGAGGGGGATGACGGATGAGCTTGTTGAGAGGCTGAAGGGCTTTATTGATCCGAGGCGTGTCTTGACGGAGAAGTGGTGGTGAAAAGGGGGGGGGATGGGAGGGTACCAGTCGCTGTCATTTGGTGGAAGTAGAAGGCAGAGAAGAGCATGTACGATGCTTGAGCATTCAAATAGAGTAGAATTTGTGAGAGCGATGTTCGCTGGCAGCCATTGTATGAGCCCTATATCAAAAGAGGAATATGTGTTGTGTGTGTGTGTGTGTGCGCGCGACCCCAACGCCCATGGTATCATCAAGAAGGTCGTCTCAAGAACTTGATTTTCGCCGTTGAATATTCTTCATCTTTCTTCCACATATAACACCGCCGCTTCCGTAATTCAATCTTTTCTCGTGAAACCGATCCTCCCGTCGTCCCATGATCCTTTCCTACTCCCCACGGCACTTCGATTCCTTAAGAAAACAAGTCCTCCGCTTTCTGTCTCCGTTTTGTTCGATTCATGTCAAGCAGCTCCTTACCCGCATTGCCAGAGCCGAACCTGTCGGGGAACAGCTCCCGGGCATTGGCGGCGGCTCCCTTGATGGAGAAGCCGCCGTCCTTGCCCTGAGCGCGTTGGTTCGCGACGCCCCGGATATTCAACGTCTCGCCGGTCGGAGCGTCGGGCCTGGCCACAATCTTGGGCATGTCCTCCTCTTTCAACTGTGCTGAGCCAATGGCCTTTTCGAGCTGATCCAGCTGTCCGCCTCTCTTGGTCGGCTTGGTAGGGAAGAGCTCCTTCGATTTGGTCTCGCTGGCGAGGCGGCTCTTGATCGATCGAGCCTGCGTCCTGTTACCGGACGAGCTGGCGAAGAGGTCCATGGCTGCGTCCCCATCGTCGTCGCGGCGCGGTGATGCCGATCTGCCTCTCCTGCTGGCGCTTGATCGCCCCGCTGGGCGATCTGCGAACAGCTCTTTGCCGCGGTTGTTTCCTCGCGCGCGCGACCCTGACCGCTCGGGCGACCTGCTGTCCCTGGAAGGCTGCGGCGCATCGTCGTACATGCTTGCCTCGAACGTCTCCACCTGTTCGTCCGAGTAGCGTCTTCGCCTGCCTCCTCCGCTGGCGCGATGGTCGCGGTCGCCGCGGTCACGGTCGCGATACCGCGCGCGGTTTTCCTGCTGCCGGCGCCGCCTCTCCTCGGGGTCGTGCTCCGGGTGCAGGAGGTAGTATCTGCTGCGAAGCGCGGCGCCGGCCTGCTTCCGGTCGGCCAGGGTAGCAAAGCGAAGCTGTAGAGAGGTTTCCGGCCTGCCCTCCAGGGCTTTGGCGGGGACCGTCTCGCCAATGCCCAGGGCTGTCGCATCTGCGATGTCGATGGCGCTCAGGGCGACAAAGGCGTCGCGGGCGGTGGGTTCGGAGCTGAAGACGAGGTTTGCCGAGCTGTCGTCGATCCATTCCACCCTCTCCACGATCCCGAAGTGGCTCTTGACGTATGATTTTATGTCGTCCGTGTGCAGGCTGTCGAGGCCCTTGATGTGGATCTTTGTAGGGACGATGGTGGTTGACGCGTCGTCTTCGTTCTGTGGTCCGTCGTCTGCCACCTCACCCGGCTCCTCTGGCTCGTCCGGCACCAAGATGTCGTCGCCTTGCGGTAGAATCTCGTTGCCGTCTTGGAAGGCGTCGGCGGCGGCATCGTCCATGTCGATATCCAAATCCATTGTCGATGTGCGGCGATGGCCGAGGAAGACGGGCAATTAAGGAATGGGTATCAAGTGTTGGGGCAGATACTGCCACCTATTATCGAAGCAATGTTCCAATTGGAGATGATTGAGCAGCAGAATATGGAGCAGAAGGAATGAAAGTCTCTCGCTCTGTTTCCGCTTCAGATTCCAAGAGGGGAGTGTAATACAGATCTCAAGTCAGCAGAGGGAAAAGGGACCAGGATTGAAGGATCAGACGGGAGTTGGCAGAACGGCGGCTGTGAGGCGTGACAAAGAGGATCGAGAAGCGCGGCTGTTGGGGCGGCTGTTGGGCGGTGACGGCGCTTGTTGCTCGGGCGCGGCTGCGGGCAGATGTACCCTTTAAGCGCAGGTACCTGCGGCGCGGTGGTGCAGCTCGCGGCAGTACCTCTGCGGTGCTACGGGTGCGCTACAGGCGTGCTACAGCGGTGCTCAGCGTGCTCAGCGGTGCCACAGCGCCATGGCCCCTGCTGGAGAGGGACCCGAGACAATGAGGCGGCGCCTGAGCCTCCAATGCCAGCAGGGCGAGTCGAATCAAGCCACCTGTGGCGGCACGAGCCCCGCGGACCCGAAAACCCACCACAGGGACTTGCAGGCAATTTGGGCATTTCATCACGCAGCAGCGCTCCAGCTTGGCCTCTTCTTTGCGACGAACAAGGTCACGACTGAGGCTCGCACGCACAGGGAGATACATTCTACACCCATTGTCGCCATCTACTCGCCATCTACTCGCCATCTACGGCCCATTTGCCTTTCATTGGCATCTTCAACCTTCCGCTCCCGCTCCGCCAACTTCCCGCCAGATCCTCCCCCACCAACGATGCGCCGTCTCTCATAACCTTGTCGACATCCATTCTATTGCAATGCCTCAAGATCCTCGCAACGCCCTCAGCGCCCTCCTGCGGGCCGCTGATATCCAAGACCACGAACAGATCCTCCAAGCCGTCAATGCCGCAATCAAGGCAGACAAGGACGACGTTGCCGCTCAGCACACCAAGGTCGTCGCTCTGCTGAAGCTCGATCGCTTCGACGATGCCCTCCGTGTCATTAGCGGCGCTGGAATCAAGCTCCAGGCGACATGCGTCCTCGAGCAGGCATATGCGCTCTACAAGACGGGCAAGCTGGACGAGGCGTCCGACTTGATCGAGTCCGCCGGCCTGGACAGACGCGGCCTCCGCCATGTCGCCGCCCAGGTCGCCTACCGGGCCGAGAAGTCGCACGAGGCCGAGGCCATCTACAGGAACATGTTGGACACCGATGCCGCCGGCGAGGAGAGCGACCTCAGGATCAACATCTCTGCTGCTACCACCCAGTCTCAATGGGAGGGGACGCCCTCGGCCACCCCGGTCATGTCCCCCGATACCCTGGACACCTTTGAGATGTGCTTCAACGTGGCTTGCGGCGAGCTTGCTCGAGGCAACACGAGCCGTGCTGCTTCGCTCCTTCAGCGCGCAGCCATGTTGTGCGATAACTCGGACGAACTGACCGACGAAGAGAAGAAGACGGAGCTGCGATCCATTCGTGCCCAGCAGGCGTATCTGTTTGCCAAGATTGGAAAGCCCAGCTCGGCCCTGGAAGTCTACGAGATGCTGGGTCCTCCAACGTAAGTGCCACTGCCCTCAAGGTTGCAGCCATATAGGTTCTAACATGCATCGCAGTGCCAATGATGGCCGTGACTTTGCCGTCATCACGCAAAACAACCACTTTTCCCTGGAGCCCCCCGGCAACCCCTTCCTGCGCCAGCGCAAGGCAGAATCCCTGATGGCATCAGCAGCCCAAAGCGACCTTTTCAGCTACCAGTCCAACATTCTCAAGCGCAACAACCTCATCATTGATCTCGGGGCCTTTAAGACGCAGGGTGTCACAAGCAGAACAGAAAAGACTCTTAGCCAGGCAAGGCTTCCTTCGACCAGCCCACAGATCACCGCAGCGTCCATCATCAACGCTGCTGCCCACACGCAAGGGTTGGACGAGAAGGAAGCGCTCCGCAAGCTGCAAACCTTGGCGGCCAAGCGGACCAACGACGTCGGCCTCGTCCTGACGATTGTTCAGCTACAAATACAGCAGCAGCAAGCTGGCGCCGCTCTGACGACTTTGACGACTTTCCTCAACCGCTTAGAGTCTTCCGAAGAGCCCAACGACACGGATGTTCGCTTCAGCCCTGGACTGGTTGCGCTCGCAGTGTCTCTGTTCCGATCACAGCAGCGAGAGGCCTCGGCCAAGGCTGAAATTGTCAAGGCCGCCCAGTACTGGCAGAACCGCCCATCCCACGCAGTAGGGTCGCTTCTGCTCGAGGCCGGAATCGAGCTCATGCGGTCGTCCAACGCGGACGACTTGCTGCTGGCCGGCTCGGCGTTTGAGAAGCTGCTCCGGGAGCAGCAGGCCACTGACGTGGCTTCGGCCGGGCTGGTCGCGGCATATGCGGCGTCTGACGCGTCCAAAGTCAGGCAGAACGCCGACCAGCTGCCCCCTGTCGGTGAGTTGATTGGCGGCATCGACGTGGACGAGCTGTTTGCAGCTGGCGTGGCCGTTTCCAAGAGCAGCGCCGTCTCCAAGAAGCGGCCCGCGACGGAAGAGGCCAACGCGGACAAGGCGACGAAGCGACGGCGGAGAAAGCTGCCAAAGAACTATGTCGAGGGCAAGACGCCCGACCCGGAGAGGTGGTTGCCCCTCCGCGACCGGTCGTCGTACCGGCCCAAGGGCAAGAAGGGGAAGAAGAGGGCCGGCGAGGCCACGCAGGGAGGCATCGTCAAGGAGGAGGAGACGCTGGGGCTCGTGGGCGGGGGAGGCGTCAAGGTGGAAAAGGCGTCGGCGCCGGGGTCGAACAATAAGAAGAAGAAGAAGGGCAAGAAATAGTCTATTGATGATCTTTTTTTGAATTTTACTGTTTACGATTTGGCAAGATTTTTGACGTGGTGATGTGACATTTGTATGTCGTGATGTGAAGAGTGGGATGGAATTGCTGGAATAGGGGGCAGCTACTGCCTGTGCAAGACGATGGGTATGTGGCACGAGAGAGGACTGTATGTATAACTCCCTTCATACATCTACAAGAACGATGTCGAATCAACTTTGCAATAGTATACAATCCATGCCAAGTCCAGACCAGCTGGCTCTACTACCACTTCTTCAAATCCCCATCACCCCCTGAACGCGCTGAACAGGTCGGCAAAGAACTTGGCCGTCTTGCCAATCACCTCGGCATCCTCCAGCTTGCCCTCGGCGCCGCCATTCGGGCTCTTGCACTCCTCTTCCGGATTCTGGATCTGCACAATGGCCGTCAGCCCCGTGTCGCCACTCATCGTGCTAAACGGCTTGTTGTTGCAAAAATCATCCGTCCCCTCACAACAGCTAATAAAGCTCTTGGCAATGGCGTCGGCAATGTCGGAGCGCGCGAAGTGGGACGTTTTTCCAAAGAGAAAGTTGTTCTGGACTGCAGGCGGCGGCGGTTGCCGGGCGGAGAAGGAGGGCGGCGTGGGAGGGCCTTTGATGAGGATGGCTGTCGTCGACGGGGGGGCCGGTGGTGAGACGTGTTTTTTGCTTGAGGGCGACGGCGAGGGGCTTGCAGGTCGGTGGAGTTGACGCCCGAGTCGGAGGCCTTGGAGGGAGCATGATTCGGTGGGGATGAGGTCGCGGACACGGAGGAGGAGGCTTGCTGCCTGGGTGGCTGCGGGGAGAAGGCCGAGGAGGAGGAGGAAGAAGCTGAGGTTGATGATGGGAAGCATTGTGATGATGGGTCTTGTTGGTGAGTTGAGGGGGGAGCTTGATATGTCTGGTGGTGTTTGTTGTTGGCCGAGGTTTGTGTGTTTGGTTTGAGATTGCTCCGATGGAAGAAACATGGCTGTTGACAGGACTACATATATGCGGAATTTAAGAAGGATGCCATGTATATGCGGCAAAGAAGTCAGTTCTCATGCCTGATATCATCACCAGTTGTCGTACCAGCATCGCACGGAGTAGCGAGTTTCGAGAACACGAGACTACCTTACCTGTTCAATGGGGGCTGGATAGCCGCATCTTCAGTAGTACTACGAAAGGACGGTTTGAGGGCTCATTCGAGATGTGTTGCTCGACTGGTTTGCCGAAAGTAAGCAAGCATTGGTCACGTTTCCCCTTCTGTCAGATACGAAAAGTCACATCTTCCTTGTTGTTCCCTATACTCTTCTGGATAGGCTACTTGTTGTTTCCGAGTTGTAGATGTGCTTCCGTCGTATTTTCATGTAACTCTTTCACCCCCCCTTAGCTGTAAGGGCATGGGCTTACGACTGCGCAATTGCAGACATGTGGGAAACAAACGCAGAGATATGCACAGACATGCACAGACTTACCGAGTCTCAAGTAACGTAGAATATTATTAGAAACTACAACATCTTACCATTCTCTATTGATCATCACAGAAGGTTAAGCTCATCGTCATCTGAGGTAGGCAGTTGGTCACCAAAAGCAAAGAGGGCAAACAGGCATCTCCCTCTGTGTTGTGAGAGAGTGTGTTACTTCGTATGGTATATATATAGTAGTATACTGTCAGGTTGACATGGGATGTGGGTTGTCTGAGTTGTCTGGATCTGTATGTGAACTGTGTGTGTGTTTGGAAATGTCCGTGGCCTCGTACCGTAGAGAGATGAAATTAAAAGGAGAGATGTATAGACAAAAGACATAGGAGACATGACAAGATGGCGGGCATCTGCGCTGAAGAGAAGAAAAATAACAAACAAAATGTCCAAGGATCGTAAGCATAGAAGCGGTAAAAAGAAAAGAAAACAGCAGACAAGGCTGACAGGTAGCTGATATCCAACAAATGAGAAACGACAAGTACAATAAAGAAGGGCATATGTCGCCCGTTCTTCCCCCTTCTCCTATCAAAGCAGCGGGCATCTCGGAGAACCGGACCGGGGCAAAAGTAACAAGATGAAAGAGAAAGGAAAAAGAGAACTTGGGAAAAAAGACATTGGTGGTTCCAGTGCAGCCGTCATGGTCAAGTGTACAAGAAAGAAAGAAAAAGAAAAGACCTCCTTTTGCTATTTTGTTGGCTCTCGCCTCCCGCACAACCCGTTGCCCTGCAATATTCGCTAAGTAGACATACATATTCGCGCCCCTCTAGAACAAAAGATTTTCAGACTACCATTTCTCCTTCTATCACTTTTTTTCTTTTTTCTTGTTTCAAAGTTCATGCGTCCACTGCTTGCGATGGTCGGCCGGGCAGAGAATCGGGGTCGTGTGCTGCCGCTGCCTCTGCCTCTTCTGCCTCCTTCTCCTTGGCCGGCTCTTCCTCCAGCACCCCATCTTCCAGCTTGTGCTCTACTTCCTCATCCTTCTGTTCCAGTTCCATCGTGGTATCTCCCTCCTCATCTATAGCCGACTCAGCCGTGAATGCTTCTAGTTCGTCATCGTCGTCTTCCTCTGTTTCAATGGGTGGCAGAGGCGATCTTCGGCCGTCTGAAAAGCTCACCGCCACCTCGCTATCCGCATCTGAAGGAATAGCCAGCCTTCCTCCCGCAGAGACGCTCCGGGCTGCCTGGGCCGACGAATACTTCCGGTGGAGCTCTCGGAAGCTCCTGGCCGTGGCCGTACTGGCGCTCGCTGCCGACTCCCTCCGTTCACGAGACACGCTGTGCTCCAAAGGAGCTTCCAGCACCGAGTAAAAGTCGTCTTCCTGCTCTTCGCTCGGAGGGGAAAAGGCAGGTTGGTCGGTTGACTGCCGGTAGCTCTGCTGCTGCGACTTCCGAGCCAGCAGCTGCTCCTCGTTGTTCAAGACCTGCAGTTCTGTTCCGAGCTGAATGACAGAAGCCTTCTTTCCATGAACAACAAAGCTGCCGGTTCCTCGCGACAGCGTACTGTCGCGGTTGGTGTCCTCTGCCGACGCCGCCGGGCCCGTTTCCCTGCCCTTCCTGCTCCGATGGTGGGAGAGATGACCAGCACTCTCCCTAAGGGTGCGTTGAAGGCTGCGCCGAATCTTGCTTCTCTCGAACTTGTCTGCTGATGAGGAAGGCTCGCCAGCCTCTCCGGTGGTGGACGTGATGGACTTGTCTGACGGATCCCTTCCTACTCTTCCTTCCAACAGGCCCGCCTGTCTCAAGAAGTGCCTCTCATCCGCGTCCACTTCGTCATGTGTGTGATTCGACTTGACTTCGGCCGTCTCATCCTCATCGTGTGGCTCGAGCGGCTGCTTGCCCTGCATCGTACCCGTGGATGGCTGCACGGGGGAAGGCGTGATGCTCGAGACCGAGCCATGCCTGACGCTTCCGATATCCAGCTTGGGCGTTTCCTGTACCTCGGGCGGCGGATGCACTTCGCTCGTCGGCCGCGTGGATGGCGGCGACGTTGGCCTCGCCGGATCCTGCAATTCCACCTTGAAGTCGTTCTTGTCCGAGAAGAAGTCAGGATGAGCCTCCACGAGAGGCGACTGGGGCAGCTTCTCGGACATTGCCTTGGACTCGGGTCGTTTCGTCACAGAACCGGATGGGTGCGGCGCTGAGGACACACGACGCTCCTCAACCGAAGGGCGAGTGTCAGCTGCTGTAGGCTTGTCCTCAATCAGTTCCCCCTCTTCTTTCAAGTCCAAAGCCAAGATGTCCCGATGGCACTTCTCCTTCCAGATCTCCATGCGCGCCCACCTAAGCTGCGCAGACATGCGAGCCGCGGCCAGGAGAAGCTGCTCCCTCGTCCTCGGCTGGACGGGCGCGAGAATCATGAGGTGGCGGGCGTTTCTCAGCTGGTCTTCCAGGGCCTTCTTGGCTTCCTCTATTTTGCGGTCTGCCTCGGCAATCTTCTCTCGCATAATCTCGCGTCTCGCCTGCTGAATATCTTCGGCCATCTTGTGGTCGATTCGGCTCCTCGCAATCGACACGAGGCCGGTTGGAGTCTCGACGAGTTGCGTGGCGTCTGAGCTTTCGAGCCTCCTGAAAGCCCGGCGACTGTGGCCGTCGTAGGTGCCACCAGCAACGCCGCGCATCTTAACGCCCGATGTCCTAAAGGCGGCGGCGTAGTTGAGTTTGGCCAACCAGTCATGAAGCTCCTGCTCGTCGTCAGCAAGAAGAACTTCATCCAAGCCTCCCTGCCTGACGTAGATGAAGGCATTCTTGTGCTTCTTGTAGGACATGTCGAGCAGAGCCACGGCGCCCTTGGTGGACATGAGTGCATCCGGCTTGAACTCTTCCAAGGGGGGTTTGAAGGTGATGGGTATTCCGTCGTGACCAGCCTTGACATGGTTTTCGTACTGGTGCATGAGGCTCTTGACCCAGCCGGTGTTGCGGAAGAAGTAGAGCTGAGCGCCTGTCAAGATGGCCCCCCACTCCTGCCAGGGAGACCGCGTCTTCCTCTTTTTGGCTTCTTTCCGCCACAGAAGCCCGACTTTTGTAATCTTGATGTCGACTATGCCCGGTGCGTCGTCTGGGTTGTTGAGGGGCTTGTCAGACATGAAGGCGTCTGGGCGGGACCTCGCAGAGACAATCTGTAGGACTCCTGTCCTGAAAAAAGTCTTTTGCAAGTCTTTCAAGTTCAGCGTCTGCCCCGGCCCCAGATAGCAGTACTGATCTTCAAGGGGGATAGCGGACTTGAGATTGGGTCGCAGAGCGTCCAGGTTCCCGTCGATGATGAGCGTATAGGGATCGAGAGGCTCCTTCGCTGCCCGCTTGGCAGGGTCGCCGGGAGGGGCCGGGAGGATCTTGCGCTTCGATTTGAAGCTTCCGTGGCGGTCATTGTTCAGGTCGAGGTCGTCTTCAACGTGGATAAAGGGGGTATAGCAAATGTTGTCGTAGAAGCACTCGAGAATCTCGTCAAAGATGCCCTCTCCGCGGGTGTTCTTCAGGTAATCCGCCTTTTGCATCTTGCGCTTGTTGTTCTTGTTGTAGACGTCGGTGTGGAGGATGAGGAGGGAAAAGGCAATGAAGTAGGCCTGATCAGGCGAGGAGTAGATGCCGGGGTTACACTCGTGGTAGCGGTTCGCAAACGCCTGCAGGCACCGGTCTATCTGCTGCGTTTCCTTGGGCAGCTCAGCCTCCATCAAGAGCTTGCGAAGGGCCATGTCCATGGGGTCTCCAAAGAAGCTAAACGTCCTCATGAAGCTCCTCAGGGCGGCGGTCGAGAAAGCGTCGGTTCCCTTGGACAGCGCGGCGGCTATGACGCCTCGACTGACCATGCCTTCTATTCGAGCAATGTACTTGGCGGGGGATTCGTCCTCGAGTCGCTCGGGGAGGACTATGGAATCGCGCGGCAGCTGAAGCGAGTTGTTCTTGGAGCCAGTGGATCCCGGCGTCGCGGGTGTGAAGGAGCCTTGCCGGCTGAGGTCGGAGTTCTGGCGAAGCCGGGTCAGGCCCAAGAGATCACCAAAGCTCTTGCGGCCAATGGAGGTGGACGTCCGCGAATTGGGGGGAGGCCCGAGGTGCTCATCGTTGGAGTCTCTTCCTATTGAGCTCAACGTGGACGACCTCCCGCGTAACAGGGTGGTCCGGGTTGGAGAGGAGTGATCGGAGCGAGGAGGGGCGTTTGCGTTGAACAGGGCAATGGCCGGGTTCATATGAGGGCCGTGGTCAGTCTCGGCTTTGTGCAGACCGGTGCTCTGGGCGGAAACCGGGCGTGGTGTGGCCTCGACGCCCAGAGAGGCGGTCGAGGATCCGTCTGCCGGCGTGGCGCCGCCGCCCTTTTGCTGAAGGTGCGCAAAGGGAAACAGCGGCTCCGGCGGCCTCTTGTTCCTGCGCAGCTTGAAGAAGGACGTGGACGATGTCGACTTTTTGGGGGTAGAGCTGTGAGATACGCGATCAGTGGAGCTAACGTCTGATCTCGAGGACTCGGAGGGTCGAGGGGCGATGTTGAGCCCGGTGCCGGTGGAATCAACCGTCGTCTGGGTCGAGGGCCGTGGCGATTGAGGCTCGGCATCGTCTGCGACGCTCAGCGAGGGTCGTCCTTGGTCGCCCATGGACTTTCTGGGCATGGGTTCGCGGCGATGGCTGGACAAGGGATCGTCACGGGGGATGTCGGTGGATCGTCGCAGCATTGCAGCCAACCCCAGGCGGGAGGATGATTTCCTGATGCTGCTCGGTTCCATGTTCATGGTGGGAGCGGTAGTGATGATGGCAGGAGCTAGACAAAGAAAGAACAAAGAAGTCAGTCGCCATGAGGACGTGAGTGGTTGCGAAAGGGAGAGAGCGGAGGAATCTCAATCTCAATCTTTCATCTTTATCTCTATCCACATCACTATCTCTATCTGAATCTACCTATGTAGATAGAGATTCGATACGGATGTAGATGTAGAAACCGGATACATATCCGAGATTGAATCGAGGAAGAGAAGAAGGGGAGGGGTGGGTATCAAAAGGCAGAGAGCGAGATGAAGAGACAATGGGGGCGGGCTTCATTACGTCGAGGAACGGGAGGAGGCTTCTCGGCAGCCTGCTTGACACGCAGAGACAGCTGGGAGTCGGAGGCATTTCGAAAGCGCAGGACGGAGAAGCGCCGGTGCTTGCTGGACTGCTGCTGGACGGGCGGCGTGGAGGGACGGTCGAGCGACGAGACGGATCCGCGGCTCTGCGGGCGTGACTGCGGATCGGCAGCCTCGTCGTCTGGCTGGGAGGGCGGCGACGGCGCCTCGGGGACGTCGTCAGAGGCCGGCGCAAAGGCAGTGGTAAGGCGGCGCATGTCGGTCTCACTGGCCATGTTGCCGCGGCGGCGTAAGAAGGGCATGGCGGCCGATGCTCATGGTTTGCGAGGGCACGCCTGGCCGGCTGGGGGGAGATCCGGCGCGGCCGCTGGGGGACGGGGACGGGAGCGGGAGCTGACGAGGCCCGACGAGGATGGCGACGATGGCGGAGGCGGGCAGGAGAGTCGAGGGTCGAGGGTCGAGGGTCGAGGCCTAGCTGGATGCGCCAGGCGCGTCGAGAAGGGGCATTGAGCGAGGGAGCAGCAGGGCGGGAGCAGAGCGGCAGACTCGAGTCGGGACTGTATTACGAGCTCTGCTGGAGATGAAGATGCTATGACTGATTGATGAGCAAAGCCCCAGGGGGGGGTTGGAGGGGGGCTCGGGAGGTCAGTTGGAGGGTCCTGCTGGCTCAGCACAAGAGCATCGACGCCGCCATAGCCTCTGCAGTCGGTCGGTTCGTATGTGGTGCCCGTATGTGGTAATTACAGGGCAGAAGCGCAGCAGAGCAACGTCCAAGGTATTGCAGTAGTAGAGGCCGGCGAGGTGCTGCCAACAAGGTGCCCAAGATTACATGCACGAGGTTGCACGGCCACGCTCGCAGGGCTCCAGGGGCTTCTGCTTCCCTGGGCGCTGGCGAAGGGGCGCTGACGAGCTAGGCTAGAAGGTGTAATATGTACGCGCGTGTGCTCGGTACCGCCCTCGTCCAACGGCGCCCAACAACGGCTGCGGCGCTACTCGCCGGTACCTGGCCCACGCATGAGGCTGATGCGCCAGTGGATCCGCGCGGCCAGAACACTCGCAGATGGTCCATGGAATCCAGCTAGTAGTGGGACGAGGCCTCTGCAGTTGCACCGTCCGTCAGCGCAGAGGGAAGAGAGGCGGGCGTCTTGTGTCTTATTTTCACTTTGTATTTATCTTCTTGACTTTCCGTCTTATTATCATACCTATCCGTGCCACGATGTTGCTGACGGGTGTGACGAATGGGGAAGTATGACTTCCAGCTCCAGTACCGTAATTAGAACCTTACTCGGGACGGATCTGAGCACCTGTAATCCCGCCTCGAGGGACCACCTGAGAATCAAATTACAAGGCCTGTCCTCGCTCATTGCTTTTGATGGCAGCTTGGACCGTGCCTGATCAACACAAGCTTGCATCTTTACTTTTGAAGCAGTTCCATCATTTCCCCCATGGGAGCACCCAGACCTGTGACAGAGTCTCTTCGCCTGTTCGAGTGCTTGTACATACTACATACATGCACTCAGGCCACCTCTGCACTCTGCAACCTCTCGCACGTTCGGGCACAGCCCCGCCATCAGGGACTCGGTACCTCTGGGGCATCCTGGTCATCTGTAGCTGGGGCCACCGCCCAGCCGCACAGCTACAACGGCCCTGAGTCGCCGCTACCTCCAGACTCCGTACCCTTATTTTCCGGGGCTCCATTTCTAGCAGCAACCGCTTAAGGCGACGCTACCGTGGCAGAATCCAGTGCCTAGACCTGCTGTGGAATTAAGCAGAGCATCCATAGCATAGCCTCGCCAGCACTCCACTATCCGCTAGTATCAGAGCGGCCCGTCACCAACGTGCTGGTTGGCAACAGGAGGTATCTATAGGTTACTACTATCTGTACCATCCAACCTCGAGGCTAACGAGCAAAAGTCGCCTCCCAACCCCAACGACAAGCCATCACCAGCGCCATGTACAGTGACTGATTGATTCATCCTGAGATTGCCCGTGATTCTGCTCATCCTCATCTTCATTGCGCCAGCACTCATCTTACTCTGACCCCACCGAGCCGCGCCGCTCCCCCAAAGCCGAGATGAAGCCATCGCTCGCGGCCGTGGTGGCCTCGCTGGCTCTCCTTGGCCCAGCTCCCGCTCTCAGCGCCGGCATTGGCGCGCAGACGCAGCGGATGCCCTCGCCGGCCAGCGGTCGCGGCAGCGTCTTCCCCATCCTCACGAGGCTGCGCGACGCTGCCATTGAGCTCGTCTTCGGCCGCCACCCCTCCAAGGCCGCCCCGACGGCGCCCAGCTTCTCGCCCTCGCGATACGCCAACCAGCTGGTGCTGCGCTTCAACGTGACGACCGCCGACGAAGAGGCCGCGCTCGCCGAGGCCGCCGCCCAGCTCCTGCTCGACATCTGGGCCTTTACGGACGAGTATGTCGACATCCGGCTGTCTGCCAGCCAAGTGGCGCCGCTGCGCAGCCTGCTGCCTCGGTCCCTCCACCACTCGCAATCCATCCTGATCCCGAACCTGGCGACGACCATGTACCGGACAATGCCGTCTGCCGAGGACAGCGCCGTGGCTTCGGACAGGCTGACCTGGGCGCTGCTGGAGCAGCCGCGGTCCGTCGACAACCTCTTCTTCCAAGACTACCAGCCTCTTCCCGTCATTGACCGCTGGATGCGCCTGCTGGAGGCCATGTTCCCGTCGTATGTCAGATACATCACGATAGGCAAGTCGTTTGAAGGGCGAGACATACCCGCCCTCCGCGTCGGAGTGCCGGAGCTGGCCGACCCCAGCAAGCCGCGCAAGATGATTGTCGTCACCGGCGGCGTCCATGCCCGCGAGTGGATTTCAACCAGCACCGTCAACTATGTGGCGTGGTCCTTCATCACGTCGTTTGGAAACGAGCCCATGATTACCAAGTTTCTCAGCCATTTCGACGTCGTCTTCATTCCGGTAGTCAACCCCGATGGCGTCGAATACAGCTGGCAGGTCGACCGCCTGTGGCGCAAGAACCGGCAGCCAACCAAGATGCAATTCTGCCGCGGCATGGACCTGGACCACGCCTTTAGCTTCGGCTGGGACCATGCCGAGGCCTCGGGCGAGCCGTGCTCGGAGAGCTACGGCGGAGAGGCCCCCTTTCAGGCTTTCGAGGCCGGCGAGCTCGCCAAATGGGCCAAGAACGAGACGCAACACAACGTCAAGTTCGTGGGCCTGCTGGATCTCCACTCGTACTCGCAACAGGTCCTCTTTCCTTACTCATACACGTGCGACGCGGAGCCGCCCAATCTCGAAAACCTGGAGGAACTGGCGATGGGAATTGCAAAGGCGATCCGCCTGTCCAACGGAGAGTCGTACTCGGTCACCTCTGCCTGCGAGGGCGCCGTGGCCGTCAAGGACTCTCCCGACCGCCATCCCGTCTGGCCTCGCATAGAATCCGGCGGCGGGTCTGCCATTGACTGGTTCTACCACGAGCTGGGCGCGCACTATAGCTACCAGATCAAGCTCCGAGACACGGGGAGCTACGGCTTCCTCCTGCCAAGGGAGTACATTGTTCCGACGGGAGAAGAAATGTTTGACGCCATGAAGTATTTTGGCGACTACCTGCTGGGGAACAATGGCATTGAGAAATCGGTGACCGAACAGATGGAGCATGTGACGAGTGTGGAATTCGACGACACGCAGGAGACGTTTTCGGAGCTGCGGCGACGCAGGTTGCGAAGGTAGAAGCATGAACACGAGCAGGACCTTGTTGTTTTTCTTTTTCTTTTGCTTTCTTTGTATATTGTGATATCCCTCTTTTTATACTGCTTTACTACCACACGATGGAGAACGCTGTCCCTCCCATGAGATGTGAGCCCACGTCTACACACGAACGCCGCCGACAATCGACGACAAACTGCTATTTTCGCCTCAAAGACGATGTTGTGGTCAGGGCCCAGACTGGGAGGCCTTTTTCTTGCAGGCCATGGAAAGGGAGGTGGGCGGAAAAGCGTTTGTTACCCTAGCGTTTCTCTGACAGGGAAATTCTCTCAAAGGGGCTAATGAATTCTATTAATTGAACAAGCATCTATCATGACTACCTACACTACTACTGCTACTATTGCACTTGACGACTAAGATTTATTTTCCCGTGACAAGGACAAAGGAGGTGTAGGCCGCCATGAGCTTCAAGCTCAGGTCTGCCACGCCAGCGAGATACGCGCCACTGGGGGAATGGGGGAATCCGTCGGTTAGCTGCTGGTTCAATCTCGACAACTGCTAGGAGGGAGCACTGGAAACTGGCGGGTTTCAAAAAACTTACAAAGTCCTGCCCTTGGGGCCGGCGGCGCTGGTGTAGCCGTACAGGTAGAGGGTGCGGCCGACGGCCCAGGTGGCGCCGAGGACGGCGGCGGCGGTGGGGAAGTGCAGGCCGGAGATGAGGAGGGCGCCGAGGGCGGAGGGCTGGTTCTCGATGAAGTTTGCGTGGGCGCGCTGGGCTGTGGGATGATGGTCAATTAGGTCTGGTGATGTTGAGGTTGAACGTGAGGAGTGGAAGGGAGGACAAGGAGGAGGAGGAGCGGCGAGGTAATGAAAGACGGGATGAAGATGATGAGAGTTGAAGACTGAGGGTTTGGTTGGGAACATACCGCAGTTGAATCTATACGCGGCAACGTCCTTGTCGGCCTGCTCTTGGGTGGCGTAGGCTTGGGGGTAGGGGATGTTGCTGGCCTTGCGGAGCTTGGCGGTGCGGAACATGTGGAAGGTGTTGACGAAGAAGGTGGATGTGGCGGCAGCCAGGACGAGGCTTGTTGTTGAGAGTTGAGTTAGTCTATATGATTCATTGTGATGTTGGGTGTTTTTTTTTTTCTCTCGCTTCATTGTTTTTTTGTTATGTTGGCGTGGTTGTTGAGGCGAGGTGAATGGAGTTTTGAGGTGAAGTGAGAGAGGTTTTTCTTTTACATACCCGTAGGAGTCGGGGATGGTGAGCGTGATGGCCATGTTGAAAGCTTGGAGGATGACTTCTTTGACAAGTTAAAGTGAGATGAGAGTATGGGAAAGGGGTGATTTGATCGTGAGGTATCTGGTTCAATGAGTCGTGGCTGGTTTCTTTTTGTCGTGGGAGCAGTGGTCCATTTAAGCGTCTGATCGATCCCGCGGAGGTGGACTCCCCCCCTGAAGAGCTGGGAATCGGGATCCCCCAGTGACTTGACGCGAGGGAAAACGGAGGAGCCGTCCCATCCATCAAATTCCACCCGCTACTATAGACCAAGCTGTATGGAGTCGACTATACGCAATTATACGCACTACTTTTGTCGTAGCCTGTACTATGGCTAGCCCTTGGGCTGTTGGAACGGGGCAAAGTTGTTCTTTGTATGTTATGTACGTGTGGCGGAATACGGGAGTGGGAAATGCCTGTCTGGCTAAAACCACAATGACACAAACGACTTTCTTCTTGTTCCCGTTTCGCCGCCAATTATCATGCTACGACTCGGAGTGCTAAGGTGGTAGTATATTCATGCTTGCTATGTACCTTCGTTTACGCGAAAGGGGGGGGGGATACCAAAGAAAAGGACAGAAGACACAACCAACAAGCTGAATCTCCACTAGTAGCAAACTGGTAACAAGTAGTCAAAGCGGCAAAATGTGAACTTTTCGCTCTCTCTCTCTGTTGTTACCCCCTAAAACATACTAAGGTATAAACTCCGTTACAAGCTAGGTTTGACTACCTAGGTAGGTAGACGCGTTTCGGCTTATGGGCTAGGCGGCGCAATGAAGATTTCCGAATGCCGTTTTTTTCTTTATTTTGTGGATAACGGCATTTGTTGCTTGCGGAGAATGGGAGTGGATGCGTACTATCTTTCTACATAGGAGGATGAGGATCAAATCAAGTAGACTACGTGTTGTTCTTGAGATGATGGAGATCCCTTCCGAGCTATGTAAGCTGTTTCAATAAGCTCGGAGATTTTTGTTCGTTGGTAAGCAGGTTGTCTGGCTTGTCTTATTGGTAGCATCGAGTTGCGGCGGATGTATTATCCTGGAGATGCGAGTTCAACTACCGAGAGACAAGGTCACTGAATACGTCAGGAACCATAGCACCCCCCGACGCACTGTAAAGAAGTAAGGAAACATAAAAGACATGCTTGATTTGCTCTTCACGATCATTTCAAACCATCATAATCAGTGCCATATCACTATCTGTCAAACTTCAGGACTCTGTCTGTCCGCTAGCAGACTACTATCCTGACAACCAGACAAAACATGTCAATTGGGACGAAGCGATTGCTCACATCCTTACCCAAGAGCAGCACCTCCAATCTCCTTACATTCAATGCGTATGCGTTATTATTACAAATCGTTCGAAGCAACCGGTCAATTTCCCGATCTAAAACATTCGATTCGAAACAATTCAACCAACCGATTCCTGTGAAAGCATTAGCCGAGCCAGCCCGGCATCTGGACATCCGCCGACGGTCCGTATATCCTCCCATCGGATCTTCGCCCCAGCACTACGGAGTAGCAGACTACTATAGGTAGTATACGATACTCCGTGCCTGATGTATGTACAGCCCCCACACAAGTCTCCCATCTTCACCAAAACACGCAAAACGCAGCCATATTGTTTGCTTATTGCAAATCACAAGTCAAGCCATGCACTCACAGAGACTCACGCCGTCTCTCCGTCTTACTTGCACACCTTCATTCAACAACAAGCATCGTGAAAAAAAAAAAAAAAAAACAAAAACAAAAAAGGCCTGCGTCATCTCTCGTCGCCTAAAGCTGCGCATCCCCCTCGATCACCTCCTAGAACGAGCCGCCGTCCCGCACACACTCAAAGTCCGCATCAAAAGTCCGCTGCGCTTCTGCGTTATACCACTAGTATTATCAAGGATTTTCGACGCGTATTGACAAGCCACGTTTTGTATCGGGATTGATTGTGCCGGCCGTCTGTCTGTCTGAAGCTACTAATGATGCAAAAGGAGACGCAGGATTACTATCCTCTGAGTGCTGGGATCAACGGCACACGCCAATACACATCGCAAGCAATGTGACGCTACAACCCAAGAACTGAGCTCCCCTCCCCCCCCCTGATAACCCGAGTATCATCGCCCCCCAACGAGCATCACCCCCTAAAGCAGAGCATCCCCCC